GTATTATTACTTTTTTTGAAGTTGACCTCTAATTTCACGACTCATATAAGTAAATCGTAGAAAATATAAATTATGAATATTGCTTATTATTTTAATGCTCATTGCTTATGACATATATGAAAGATAATATTTCGTTACCTAAAAGGTATAAAAATATATATCTAGAAGGAATTAACTTATTTTGTATGAGTAAAAGCATACTATTATATTAATCATACGAAATAAATTAACTGCCGATTCATCATTATCCCAATCCCACAATTTTGTGTGAACTTTTGACATCTAGGGCGTGAGTTTTCGTGACGTGTGAGGTAGCTACGTAGAAAAATGATGCACAACCATCAAAAATACCAATAGATTCGATTGGTTTGCTCTTCCAATGAGCACGGTCGCAAGCACAAGTTGCAAGAATCCAGATGTTATATTCATATACATAAGTACATCTCAATTCAATTAATAAAAATATTCTACCCAATGTAGATATCAATAATAGTGAAGCAAGTTGCTCTACGACAGAATAAATCACATCCCGCTAGCATTTGAAGTTTGAATATCATTTAAAAATTATACGTCTAATATTTGATAAATCAATCAAAGTTCAAGATGTTCGTCTTTGAAGTAATTGGTGAATATGAAAAGGTCAAAAAGTATATTTTATTGAGAACCGGATTATTATGTATATCACCCAATTTAGAAATGTCGTTTGGTAGGTGGCATCATTGCTCAATAGTGCTCCAATGAAATACATACTTATGTCAAACATGAGTAGATATTTTAATATTATAGATTTTAATAAGCATAATATGTTAAGATCTTATCCAGTTCAATTCAAAATGACTGTCTTCTACGAGAAACAACAACGATTTGTACTTTGATCCTAAGCGGATTTAGGCTAGTTTTTTAAGATAAAAGCTTAAATACTATTGAATTTATAACGACCAGGTACGTTTAACGGTTACACCACAATATAGTGGTGCAAAAGTAATGACAAACGAATATTTCAAGTTACCATATGCATAAGCCAGTTTTATGGGACAAATTCATTTGCCTAACTTTCATTATACTTTAGAATAAGAGCAACATTCATAACGACTTTGTTGAAATATGAGAAAACTTTTCTCTCCTACAATATTCTGTGCAAAGGCTTTCAACTTCGACTGAACACGAACATAACGAAGAAGGTCCATGGGATTCATTATCTTGAAAATGATTTGTTTTTAAGTGGGAGAGTCGGGTGTTTAACTAAAGCCACAGAGATCTTATATGGCACTGTTAAGTTTTTGTGAAAAAATTACATATGAGAGTATTGTCAAGGCAATTCTAATCAAAAAGTTGATTGGCTTCTAAGAAAATATTACTTTACTTTATATTTTTTTAGTCTTGGATTCTCTACATTTATTTGATTCCGAACACTTCCCAATCACCTCTAGCACAGACCTAAACTTTTTATATTAACATGAATAATCATTGTTATTTCTTGTAAATAATAAACAATGACATGATTCTTTTTGTAATAATTGCAATATTTTATCCTAAAAATAAAATTGCAATAAAAATATTATATACTGTAAATAACGACTCTTTATTATAGCATGGTAACAAACGGTGAATCTTATGTACATATAATGCAATACAAATATATAAAATTGACAGTCACTGAACTGAACCTAAATAAATCAAAGGATGGCAAACACTTTGATCATTATAAAAAATTTACGATTGTAATACAAAAACCATATGAGTCGTTGGCATGGTGCAATGCTGGCGTAGATGGAGAGAGAGAAAGATTTTAATATTTTGTACATAAAATACGCTATCTTTTTATTTTATTTAATCAGATAAATATTTAAGGCTCTTTTTATATGTTATATATAAAACGTGTACTCATTGTATCATAAGCCGTTATCACAAATACCTAGTTTTGTATTCATTATTGTACTGTTCTAATTTTATGTACCTAATTATTTTGTTATGCAATCCAATACGACGCGACCAAAACTTAGCGATTTGAGCAAGCATTTTTGTTTATGTCGGCGTGATAAAATTAATTCATAATAAAATAACGAACGCAACTGATTGCATCATAAGGAAAGTTGTCCTTAAAATGTTTACTACTGCGAAAATGTAAAATAATGTACATAATTAAAAATGGATAACTAAAACGCTCATATTTTAACACAGATCCACAAAATAGTTACATTATGAAAATTTAAGTAATTGGCCAATTAAAATTTACATATACATATATAGCTTTCACTTTATATGATGAATTTAAAACTATAGGTGATTATGGATCCTAGGCTGTAATTTTTTTTTGTTGAGGCAAACTCTATGTGCGTTTAACAATTGGCCTTAGACGTGACACGTTCAGACTCCACTCATGCAACTGTCACGCAAACTAACATACAAACTTATATTAAAACGCTACGCTAATTCTATACATGCAATTACTAGATATCAATAAACAACCCAAAATCTAATGACTGATAATATGCGAACAGAACAAACATGTCTAATGTTCATCGTAGATTCGAATGTATTATTAAATTTCCACTTCCACAATCGTTTATAGAAGTTAAATAGAGACTGTAAGAACTTACACTTAAAGTATTTTAATATCACAATATGTAATCATCGACTACCGTGTATTATCAAGCCGTGTAGTCGTGAAAGTGTTTAAAAATAGCTAAGAGAATTGCTAAAGGCACGAAAGCGATTACTTGGAAGAATGTCATAACTACACACTTTCTTTGTATGATATATCTTTTTGTTACACGACCACGCTGTTATTTAAACAGATTATTATAAAATCTTTCATATTTTTGGAACGCTGTTAACGTTGATCTTTAGAACGCCGTGGGTTACGATTTTTTATGACGTCAAGGATGTTTCAAAAAGGCAAATCATACATACGCTCTGTTGTAACAATGTCAATAAAATGTTTGCAACAATCTTGTAAACCCTCAGATTTCGTTATACGGAATGAACTTTACCCCAAATAGTTTACAATATTTATAAAGATTACAAAAATATCGTCGTGACTATTTAAAAAGTTATGCGATTACCAATAGTTTTGGTATTAAGAGATTATTTCATGAAAGTTTGTTATTTGCGCACTTTTTATCGTCCTGTAGATGCCTTTCAGTAATGAAGAGAAGAATAATCATATTAGTCCGTAGAAGATGTAATTACCCCTCCCTATCTGCTACTTCAATAACGACGTTGAATATATAGATTTCGTAAAAACAAACAGCTTGAAGAGCTGATGTCCAAACTATTTATATTTGGAAGGGTTACTTGTTAAAGTAACAAATTCTAACCAAACGGTTCTCAATATATGTACATTCATTAATATAAATATTTAAGCTTCTCATCTTCTTCGTAATCCGCGAGTTAAGCGTAAGTAAAATATAAAGCTCGAATACCTATTATCAGTAAACGCTAATATGGTCAGACGAAATTTCTTTAAAAACTATTAACTTTTTTACTTTTATTTTGTACGTATTTTTTAACGAACATAGTTATGAAATTTGGACTGTAGTGACTATATTTTATACACACGCAAGACTTAAAAAAAATATATAAGATATATTTTTATAGCACCCAAAGATATTGCATAACCCCTCAACGTAGTTAGTTCGAGTATAATCAAACTCAGAAACTCCCTAAATATGGCAATACCACGTGGTTATGTTTTTTTTATTAACTTTTGTTATTTTTCACATTTTAAAAATATTTTAAAAATCTTCCAGATACTTCCCTGGTCGATTCTGGTTTCATTTCAGCTTTAGAGGAAATTGTATTTTTTTTTGTGTTTTTTAAGAAGTAACCAATTGTTTATAACGTTGAAAGAACAGAACATTAATAGTATTTCGTAACTACTTTATAACTTTGTAAGGCATTTTGTAAGATTTTTTTAATTTTTTTTCAGTGCTAAAAATAGTGATTTTATGCAATTCGTTCAGCCATAGATTGTAACGTTACCCGTGAAGTTAGGTTTAAATATGTACCAAAAACTACCTAAAAATATTACTTTAAATTTTTCTTTCACAATATATCCATGAAGTTATGGAACAGAATGTTATCAAGAACGGACTATTATGATACTTTAATTCTATTTTCGATCGTTTAAGTTTTACACTTTCAATATTTTTTTGACGAACGTTAATTTTTAAGGATGTATGTAATGTCATATCCATAGAAATTGCAATTTCTCTGAGGTTAATAATTTACAAAAATATTTTTTTCCTTCCAAATTTGTGTTTTCATTATAACTTGAATTTTTTTAAGTGATATTCTTGGTCGATTATGAATTCAATCAAATAAATATAAATGCAACAAAGCATTTATCATCAAGGATTGCGCTAACTACGTCAATATATATTTTTTAATTTCTAACCCTTGTCCCAATGTGATCCGTAAAAAAAGTTAAAACTACATATTTTTTATACTATTTTCTATTGAGTAGGACATATTTGATTTGGTAAACTTCCAACACAAATAACAGTGATAAAAGAGAATTGCTTCAAACTTATTAGCTTAGGAATTTTTGTTTCATTCAAAGCATAGCAGCACGTATGATTATCATATATTCATTTATTTAGATTCGACGAGTTGTTACTTTAAGCATTACATACATCCTTGTTTCGACTTTTTAGTTGATTTCCATCCTATGATATTAAATAACACTAAAACATTAAAACGCATTTTTAATATTCGCACTTTCAACAGAAGTACAAAAGCGTGCTGGAAAAACACTTTCATCCTACTATCTGTAGTTTTAAAATTCATTGATGTAAAAACGATAATAAAATATTACAAACATTTTTCTGGTAAAAAATTTCAACGGTTCGTTTGTCAGTATATATTACAATGAGTATGTGTGTGTATCTGTGTGTATGACGTATGTATATGTGTGTGTGCGTGGGTATATAAACCCACGCAATCGACCGCTACACCCAGACGGGGAAGGGCTGGGCGTGGGTCGAATTCTCCCGGTGTTATGGTCGGTGCAGTAGCGGCGTCTGCTCGCTAGTCACACGACGATCCTCACTCCTGCGCTCGCCACAGTTGTTCGTACAGCACGCTGACACGCTGCGTCCCGCCTGTTAGATTATATACAAGGATAATTTCTACAAGCTGTATATTATTTCTAAATATATCTTACTAAGACCAACCATCTAAGTTCTCGCCCAATTTTACTTTACGCGCTTTAAAGACAGGTCTAGACTCAGTCACATAGTTTACGAATAATTTCGACATGTTTACCTGAGATAGATGCAAATCGTATAAATGCAATGTGCTGACAGACATGTCCCTTGTTTCGTCCGGTACATCAGGGAGCCCGAGGGCACTGACACCAGAAAGCCCGGCCGTGTCTTCTTCATCACTTATCTCATCCATATCCTACAACACGCAAAAACCTCTCTCAAGAAACCTCAAATGACAACATCGCTAAAACACAAATATTTATGTGTCTCTCAAATTAAGATAAAGCGATCTTTTAAATTAACTATGAAAACGACAATTCCAAAGGACACCGTAAAAAATAATGTATTTGATATGTTTCATATAATAACTTTTATAGATTATAAAGTTATAATTAACGTACGACTTTACTTACGGGAAGTCTGTACTGTTGACGTTGTTGCTGATAGTAAGATAAAACAGCTGGCAGTGGAGTATTTGTACCAAATATGCTTTGTTGAATGTAAGAACCCAGCATTGTTTTATTCTGTAAAGTTACATTAATTATTAATTAGCCATTCAGTTGCATTTTTTTTGTCTCTTTAAACCTATGCATTTAACTTGACTGTAGCTGTTAACCCTAATGGCTTTGACAGCGTCATCGGGAGGGGTGAGTGACCCGATGGGACCAACCCATTTTAGTTCGAGCTCAAATGGCCCAACGAGGGGTACGCCCGTCCCTAGTGGGCCTCTGTTATTCCATTCATCAAGCAGAATCATCTTGCAGAAAGAATGAAGTAAATATTTGATTGCTTTAACGGAAAATTGTTCATTTTATGAAAATTAAGCTGTCTGATATAATATTATTTCAAACTTATTACCTTTTTAAGAGTATAGTTGTGTTTAGTCTTTCTTTAGTTTTTATGATAAAAAAAAATTCACAAGAAAATAAATAAGCCATAACTTTTAAAAACTTACTCCAGAAGCGTTATTATTTTAAATTGTATATGAATTATAACTTTTTTTGTGGGAAAACTTCTCAATAACAAAATATGTAGACTGTACATCAACAAAAGAACCCGTGCAAAATTTTCTCTTGAACATTAAGGTAAGAGAAGAAAGTTTAAATGTGGATTATATTTTAGTTCCACGTAAACAATATTACTTACAAATACAAAATTTATACTCAGGAATAAATGGTTATAATACCAATAAAATGATCTCGTAGTGACTTACGAGGGCATTATTGGTCGGTATAGCCTGCGTCATAGTTTGACGCAGCGATCTCAGGAACTGTCTTTGTGTGGGCTCAGTCGGCTGCCAACCAGGATGACGACATGAAAATGCCACTAGAGATAGCTCCGTCTTACCGCCCTCGCCCTGGTTATACTGAGTGTTGGCACCTAGAATAATAACATACGTATCAAAGCGCGTATTCTTAATTAATTAAAGTGGAACGTCTATTTCTTCAGGCCATGATAAGAAGTATAGGTATGTAGTAAATACTTTTTAATTGTACATAGGACTTATTTTAATACCAATACCTTTTATTTACACTGGGGACTTAAAAAACACTGTACATATGTTTTTAGTTAAACCACCAATAAAATTCCTAGTAGTACTATAAATACTACAGTAACTCTGTCTGTCTGTCTGTTTGCTGAGTTTCTTTCGCCGGTTCTTCTCAGGTCAGGGTATTTTCTATCCCGAACCGGTGGTAGTGTCTCAAATGACCATCAATAAGAAAGTGTAATGCTTCTATATTGAATAAAGTTGTTTGAGTTTTTCTGCATGTTACGTTTTCACGTCTAAACTGCTCCACCGATTTTACTGAATTTTGGTTTAGAGATAGATGGGTCCTCGGAAAAGGACGTAGGCTACTTTTAATACCGAGTCATATAAAAGGATAGGAGAAGCGCCGTAAAAAATCATATAATAGAATTGATACCTTTTTTCTGTATGAAGTCAGTTAAAAGCAGACCTAAGATACTTCTAATAATATAGCCTACTCGCAAGTATAATTATTGTGAAAATATGTGAACCGTTATAGAAATTGGTCAGAACAAAAGAAAATGATTTTCACTTTTTATAGGAAGACCAATAAATTTATAAATATTACTAGATAGTACTAATAAAAGGATTAAAGTTCTTAAGGATCACGGAAACTCAAGGTGGAGAACATTTAAAAACACCTCCATATGTACCTTCAACGCCAATGAAAATTATAAGACCTTAACTTTTGTAATTTCTAATTAATACGTTACGTTTTTAAACAAAAACGGTTTCCATGTTTCGCATGAATGATATTGGAAATATGTACACAGTTTCATAAGTAATAGGATAAGGAAAAGAATATCTCCTATGCTAGTATTTGTACAGTATCGATCAATATATCGCACCTCCGCTCAAATAGTGTCACAACTCAAAAAAAGTTGAATTCAATTTTATTGCACTATTGGAATCAGAAAACTTCGAAATCTTATCTCAAATAACGTCATGCCCATAGTTCAACTATTTATCCATATATGTCAATATTTCGTAAATTATTCCTTTTTTTCATCCGTTATTCGTTTTTTTTTCAAATATATTCCAAAAGTCTATTACACCATTTTGTTGAGTGTCAAAAAACATTATAACTTACTTAAAATCATATTGCAGTAACTTTCACAGTTTTTGAGTGATGAGCCGAAAAGTAAAGTTAGCATTAACTTCAAACGCGTTTTATTCGAAAGTTGGGATTTTTGACTTATGACACTATTTGAGCGGAGGTGCGATATATACTGTACAGTATCGATTAAATAAAATCAGAGTTAAGATCAGTGGCGGCCGGTGGGTAATCGAACCGGTGGTGCACTTTACTAAAATATTAAAATTAGAAAATGCAACAAAACAATATAACGAGTTGTCAATCATGGCTCAATCCGTCATACATCGGGTGCTCTCGGTAATGTTCGGCCGCTCGTGCGGCGCTCGAGAACCGACTCAGTACTCGGTACATTTCTATGAACTATCTTTTGTTTCACGCGTCAGGCGTATTAATTCGTATTTCATACAAGATACATTAGCAGTCCTCGTGCGCTCGCCGAAGCGCACGAGATATTAGTTTAGTAAAGCGCTCAAACTCTTTGACCATAATCAGGAAATATAATTTTTTATACGATTTTATATGTTTAAAAAATAAATATTAAAATGGTAATTTAAAAATAAATATTAAGTAATATTTAGTAATTTTTAAATCTTTTGAATTGGTGGTTTAGCGCACGAGTGCACTTAAGGTACAGCCGCCACTGGTTAAGATGAACGTTAAGTCTTTTCAAATAAGCCGTTCTGTCCTTTAAAATTACTTAATATTACCAGAAGGTTTGGGATCAAAATTGTACAATATGAAACTGTATATAATCAGTCTCAAAGAACTTGTGGATACACAAAATTAATTGACAAAAAAGGATAGATGATATTCAAATAATATTAATTACCTTTTTCTCCATATTTTCCGGGTGTCTGCCAATCAGGATGACCATGCCGGCGAATGTCGAGCTATATCATTTACAATATTATTATTAACCTAAAATTTTATACAAATACACCATTATTCTAATGTTTCTTGTTTTATTACATCTTACCTGAGCAAAAGAGCAAACGTCTCCTATACCAAGAACACTAACTGTGAAATTCCTATAGAAATCCACAATATCTACAGCACGTGTACGTAGTTGGAACAACACCAAAGGGCACAGGAGAGGGCTCAGTAGTTCAAATAGTATGTACACCTGCAACATTTGAATATCCACTTATTTCCTTGTATTTAATATTTAAAAGACATTGCAATTGTACTTAACAAGATATCGATTAAACACCCGTATTATACATTATATGAATTGAACATTTACTGCTTCGATTTAACGGCTATTAATAACGGTATCGGCTTCTAGAAAGTTAATTGTAACACTCTGTAACGGAGTAAATGCTGCAGACCAATCGAGAATAATCAGAATACAGGATTCTATTCTAGAACATTCGAAGAGCAGCTCTGAAAAGATGCAAGTGTTGCTGACCAATCCACAACAATCTGCAAGACGAAGTTAGACAGATTCTAGAACATTCCACATACCGCTCTGAACTGGAACATGTGCTGTAAATGTGCGGCCACATGTCTGGTGTGAGCTCGGCCCCTCCAGGCCGCGGGCAGGTAGTGCACGTGTCCTAACACCTGTACTAACAGCTCCTCACCACGAGCTGGACCACACGACCCGCCAAGACGCTCTTCTTCACCGATTAACGCCCTAGTAACAAATTACCTATTATAAGTATCCATTCTATCTAATAACTGAATTACACACAAAAAATAATAATCGTTTTAAGTATGTATAACGTTTCGAATTTGTGTATAAAAATAAGTTTTAATTAATTAATAGGATTTTAATTCATTAGGATATAATGATAATTGTGTCCTGTTTCGCATTAGGTTTCTTTCTATGAATGAATATTACATATCTTAGATCTCATTAAATTAATAATATTAAACTTTCCGTCACATATTATTCAAAAGCAGTATTAATACAAAGAAAATTATGTTAATTTCTTTGACAACCACAGGAACTCCATCCAAATACATGTCCTCTACAGATGTCTAGATCTGATTCTACCAGGCAATCTAGATAGATTTCCTGGTAGAATTGCTACCTGGCAATAAGAACGCCTTTTTTTCATGTTTTCATACTTTTTTTTCTGTATTTATCATATTAAATTGATTTTCAAAGAGGAATATTATACTGACCTAGCTCCAGCCAGCACGCATCCAAGTATAGTAATGATGGTAAGCACATGTTCTACTGTGAGAACATCCTCGTCGTATACCGACAACACAACCAGTACACCGAGCACACTCGCCGACAAAAACACCGCATTCCTGTATTTACAAAACACGTGATATTATTACAGATATAAGTAAATTGTATTTCATACAATACAATATTTATTTTATCATGACTATATATAAATTTTTTACAGATATGCTGTTATAAATATAATATGAAATAAAGAAAAAATTTAATAAACGGTTGATATCACTTGATGCATCTTTCAAAACAATTCAATTAATCTTGTAGGGAAATTAACCAGATTTTGATATGTCGGAAATATTAGTATCAAATTACTAACTTAGCTAGAACAGTGGTGATTGGCGAGCTGAAGCTGGCGAGGTATTTGGTCGCAGGTTTGTGTGCTCTGTTAAGTCTGTCCCGCAGTTCGTGTTCTAACTCGTTGAAGTGTCTGAGAGTCACTCGAGCGTACAGAGACCATGTACGTAGACCGAGCGATCCGGGTGACCGTTTTATTAACTGTTAACAATTATATATTGCAAATGGTATAGAAATATTCACTAATAAGTCAGTCGAAACGATTTTCTTATCATTTCTTTAATTGTCATTGCAATTATAATGGATTAAATTTAACTAAATACATACAATAAATCAACAAAAAACTCAGCACTAAAATATCTGTAAATAAATGTTGGTGTATCTGTAAATAAATACCTCTGCATAGTTAAAGAAGAAGTAAAGTATCTGCCAGGCCTGGATGAGTGGTGCAAGTATTAAGTTCACTAACGCCAGAAGAACTATCTGTCTCTCCAACTGTCTGGCTAGAAGCATTCGTTTCGTATGATCCTTGTAGGCCGATCGAAGCTGCCAACGACTTTCCCAAGGGCCATCTGAAATTAAGAACGCCCTTTATATAAGACATGTGTACAGATATGAGTATTTTACAAAGTATGAATTCAGTTGTTCAAAAAAAAACTTTAAACAAATTATTTCACATTAGTTTTAAAATTTCATAATATTCGAGTTCGAAACTTCTCATTTCCGGAACCATTATTTTTAATCTTCAATTCAAAAAGAGTTGTAATGTTACATAAGTTGGAGGTTGAAGTCAGTTTGTGTTATTTATGCATCCAACAACAATGATTTTTAACATTTAAGGAATGTTGACAGTTAAATTATAAATTAGAAAATTAATGAAATGAAATGAATAGGACTTCGCTGAGGTTATTCTTAGTTGTATCAATAAATTTGTTTCCATATTAGAAATATTTACAATATCCCTTTTAAACAAAAAGAGTAAGAAAATGCTTTTAAATCTTAAAAACTGTTAGATAGTAAAACTGAAACCCTAACATTAATAAACCAAATACATTTGGAGAATTTTAAGAACCCTATAAATAATAAGTACATAAGAATAAAAGTAGCCATAGAAGTGAATAATTAATTAATAGCTGTTTGGGTGCTCAATTTGTTTTATTGCATAAATTACTTACGATTTTTTTTATCCTTCTTTACACGAGGAAAAATGTATATATTTTAAACCAAAAAGGTATTTATCTATAACTTTGTAGTAGAATAAAGACTTCATACTACAGTTAGTGAAGCACAACTTAAAATATTTATAATCCGGTAACATAGTTCCAAAAAATTAAATGAAATATAAGATTTAAATATATTTAAATTAAGACATAGATAAAATATACAACTATCATTACTCACAAAACAGCAGGAACTCTAGATTCCATTTTAAACCCCGTGATAAATAATGGAAGTCACCGATGAAAGGCACATGTATTTGAAGTGGAAGTAAATTTTTATTTACCATAGCCACCATGTAATTGTTAAACCTGTAATTGGAAAAATAATAGCATGATTCAAAATTATATCTATAAAACGTAAGTGGAATAATTTTAATATAACAGTTATAATATTTCACAAATAACACACAAGAAATTAAATTCAGCATAGCATATTGGCATGGAATATTTTACATTGCATTTTGATTTTAGCTACAATAAAAAAAAATATGATACACATATAGAAGAAAGCAAGTTCAACTTCCAAAACCTGGTTGGGATATTAACTGATAATTAGTCAAAACTAATGTAAGATATGTACATCAAAAATTTATATAAAGTACATACAGCAATAAATAGTACATAAATATGGCGCTATATTTCCACAGTGTTTCATTGCAGTTAAGATACCTTAAAATAAATATTGTTATATTGTTTCTGCATATTGCAAAAAAATTGCTGTTTTTTCATATATAATAATTACCTCTTATATTAAATGTATTGAGTAATTTAAATTCAACAATAAATCTTTATTGATGACAGACCAACACAATAAAGCACAATTAAATGTCCTACTTTACTTAATTATTATCTTTCCATAGTTAAGAAACAAAGATTTTACATAAAATCTGAACATATTATCTTTAAGATTCACTAATATATTAATTTATCTGCAGCTTGTATTAGTATAACAAAATAGTTTTTAATTATTACTTAGTAACATTCGCAACATATATTTTTTTGTTAATAATAAATTATTTAGGGATATTATCATCTTGAATAAATCCAGAAAATAAGACTATCTCAACATGTGACAGCATGGCATTGAATTAAAAGGTTACTTATTTGGCACAGCTCAAAATGTTAATCATAATAATATTTTAATAAAACATAAACATAGCAGGTTTATAAAACCAAAAACAAAAGCACTTTGCAATTATAACTTCGACTCAGCAAATATCATGCTAGGCAATTACATCCATTAAATATACACATAGATAATAAAGTTTATGCTCCTAAACTAATTTTTTTTTTACACATGCATACTGTTTTTAATTATATTACTTTCTGTTGTAAAAAAAAAATCTGTTGATGAACAAAAAGTAACTAGTTCTTCAGTAACAATTTTACTGTTTATTGTAAAGCTTCACATTAAACCATGTATATATTAGATAATTGTTTTTACCTGAGTATTCTGTGATATATATCTAATTCATTAATCTCCTGCTTGTGAACACACATTTGGTGTTCAGGTTGGGCTTCCCTGACTCTGTCTTGTATTGTCGACCAGGTCACCCAAGTCAGCTCACTCTACAAATAAATTATCTATATAATATCGAAAAAAAAAAATGTAAAAAGTTTGCATATCATTTATAAATTACCTCTTTAATTTTAAGTGCATTGTTATAAAATAATTTTGTATCATATGCATAGTATAAATGATACATAGATATAAAAAATTTCATTATCCAAATGATACAACACAAGGTAATGAGGCACCACCTGAAAGAGAATAGGAAAGCATAATGCTTTTCTTATGTATTAACTTCATGAATGGTATAATAATTGTTTTCATCATAGGACATCAAACATGATGATAGTGGAAAACAATTACCAGTTGGTATATTAGTTAAAATTACTTTGTGAAATAATTAATGTATAATAAGTATAATTACATAATCATTAGAGCTAACTATAATATAGCAATCATATTAGGGGTTAAGTCGCTACTTAACCCTAATATTATTCATGTATTACTGATATGTATATTTATTACTAAGCAATAGTTATATAATTGTTGACTGATATAAACAATGGATGTCTATATTATTACTACATTTCATTTTTTTGAATTTAGTTCAATTATGGTATCTGCTCTTTTTGTTTTTAAACCAAGTTTAACAAAGTTTAAAAGTTTGTACTACTTAGGACACTACTCCATAAGTCAGATTTATATATTTGAAGTAAAAATTATTGAATATAAAATGTATATACATGAAAATATAAATATGAAATATATATACATATACATAAAAAATGTGTAACAGAAACTACATAACATAACCAACAGTAATTAGTTTACTTACCAAGTCCATGAAATGTGGCTAACACATACAGAGGTAGGAAATATAACATCATTTAGAGTTAATTTTTCACTTCTGTTTGCTTCAGGATCATTTCTAAAAAGTCTTGGGTAGTCAACACAGTGCACCAAAAATGTTGAAAACCAAACAATAAATATAAATTGTAGTAAATAAAAAAGATCTGACATTATCATTGGATAAAATCCTCCTCTCACATAATAACTATACATTCTAGTAAAGAATGAATCTAAATCTTTTATGTGATTCCATCTGCCTGGAACAAAAAAAATACATTATTTTTATTTTTATTACACAAACTCATTTCATGGTATTTATAGTAATATAGAGTATGTTTAATAAAAACCACATTTATGATACGACCAATATCTTAAACAAAGGTATGTCTTTAAGCATAACCTTGTAGATCATTAATAGAACAATTAATATAGCTTAAGTAAAGATAAAGGAAATTAAAATAAAATTTGAACAAATATTATAGAGAAGAATTTTTACTTTTGGTTTGAGGTACTTTGTGGATGATAACATTAGTAGCATCGTCATGTTCTTGGTCCAGGGTGATTAACGTTGGACTGTTGGTATTTTCAATAGATCTCGCGAGTGGAGGAGTCAATTCATTGTCTAAAGCGCTATACGTAAAATCCCGTCTAAAATGTGCCATTTTAAAAATATTTCTGACCGTTTCTACGTCTTAAAATTTTACGCTTATATTGTACACATTCTTGAATTTGGCCCAGAAATAAAAAAAACATACGATACAAATGACTAAGTATATTGTCTAACAAAGAATTAACACGTCAAAATTCCAAGCTATTATAATACACTTAAAACACAGAAACCAAATAAAAACAAAAAAAAATAAAATGAACTGGCTCAAGGATACAAAGAATTTTGTAACATTAAATCAATAAGTATCAAAGATATTCACAATCCTAATGTCGAAAATAAACCAACAATGAATGACAGTTTCGTGCAAACAGAAATAATTCGCTACACGCAGAATTTAAATTGATATATTTATTATATACATTATTTTAGATAGTAATTCTCATTATTTGTTTTTTCTTCAATTACAGGATTTAATTAATATTTTGTTCCTATAATTTTTTTGTTGGTTTATCTTTATGAAATGTAATTATATTGACTATTTTGAATTCGATAATAATCATCTGTACTTTCACTCATGATGACAGTTGTCATATGTTCGAGTCGAAAATTGAAATTGATTGTCATAGCTAAGAACTGTAAAATTGTTCGTTGTCGTTATTGTTAGCAATAATTACTCTAAATATAATATTTATTTGTTATAAAATTTTTCTATATTTTATCTTAAAATCTGGATTGCGCCATAAAAGTAGCATGACATCTAAGGGCCATAAAACTATTTCATTGTAGTTCCTATTACTGTTCTATGAATGAATAACTTACACAATACTTATGTTTATTACATTAATCGCTCAAATCAATAATTTAGCTGATAAAATCACTGTTTGGTAAAATAATAATCTTTAGAGAGTATTCCTACTATCGTGTTGGCTTTTGTAAAGTTACTGGACCGTAAATTGAAAAATACTCTAAGAAACTTAGGTCTTTAACGCTATTCCAATATTGTTAATACAGTCCTAAGTTAAATCAAGAAAATTCTACAAATAGTACCATTTCCGCGTGAAAAATGTTTATTGTGGGCCTTACTGGAGGTATCGCTACTGGAAAAAGCACTGTTCTCCAAATATTTCGTGAAAATGGTGTAGCTGTAATAGACGCTGATGAAGTTGCCAGGAGAGGTATTAAATATAGTTTCAAAACATCCAAATAATAGTTATACAATTAATATAAACAATATTATGTAACATGGTTGACAATATAAGTACAAACCAGTTTTGAATGATCAATTTGAATATATTTTTCCTAAACATAGTGTGATAGAGCTTTACATTTATAGTAAATATAAACATTTTAATATGTATGATTAATGATGACAGAAATAGTTTGGACTTTAATTACTTATTTATTTGTTTATCTCTCAATTCTATATAAACATTATATGTTTATAGTTGTAGAGTCTAAAAGCTCATATCCAGCAAAAGTAATACAGTGTGGCGAATTTTTGCCACACTTGCTCTTACATGAAGTTTGTTTTTAAAATGACACCAATTAAGATGAAAGGTTTATGTAATTTATCAAGTGCTGTTTGTTAATTATTATTTAATATAACAATACATTTTTGATAATATGGCTAAATAAAATTAACTAGTCATTTGTTATGAGAACAGAAGTTTATTATTGTATTTGTCTGAAATGGGAAGTAAAATGACAATATGTAAGTAAATTTATTTTTTTAAGAATCTAATGTCAATTTTAAAACCTTATTGATTTGTGACTAAACTTACACAATAAAAAATAAGAATGGAACCAAAATAATTTTGAACTCTTACAATTTATCATTAAGTTTTCAATTACAATAATAATAATCATGCATACATAAGTATTTGGATATTATTTTACAGATGTTATCGAATGAATGTATGTAGGTATAAATGGGTTACTTTCCATGTTAACATTTTGGAGTTTTTATGAAATATTACCATAATGTCTCTTAAACATTAAGGTGTCTCAAATTAATATTTGTAAGTGTATCAGCTGTTTCAATAAAATGGCACTTGAATGGGATGGTAATATAAAAAATAGTTTACTTTGGTTAATGTAATTAAGTGTTCCATAATATTTATTAAAATTGTAATATATGTGAATTAGAGGCCTTTGCTCAGCAGTGAACTCTGATAGGCTGATGACGAATGTGAATCAAAATCAATGTTTACTTGTAGTTTGAGAAACTCATAATTTAAATAGTTTAAATTAATTTATTGTAAAAATAATAACAGTTGTTGATGGAATTTTAGCGATGATACGTCTTATTTAATCATCAATAGTTCAGTCAACAAGAATCAGTCAAAATTTATCTTTGATTCAGTTTTAGAGCCGGGAACCAAGGGTTGGGAGGAACTGAAGAAATGCTTTGGGACTGAGGTATTGCTGCCAGATGGAAGAGTGAATAGATTAAAATTAGGAGAATTAATCTTTGATGATAAGGAAAAACGTCGTCAACTTAATGCCATAACCCACCCGAAAATACAGATCGCAATGCTGAAAATGGCATTCCGATATTTTTTTTCTGGCCACTCATATGTTGTAATGGAGGTGCCATTGCTGTTTGAAACTGGAAAAATGTTAAATTTCATGCATAAAATAATCACTGTCGTTTGGTAAGACTCATGCACAGTTAGAAAACTTTACAAATGTTCTTTTTTGTTTATGTGGAATTTTATTACAGTGAGGACCACCAACAGTTGGAAAGACTCTGCAAAAGAAGCGATATCTCAGAAAAAGTTGCTTTGAAGAGGATAAAAACTCAAATGCCATTGGAAAAGAAAGTTGCTAATTCACATTTCGTGATAGACAACTCCGGTGACAAAGATAGCACGTTCAGACAAACAGAGAGTATCATACGAGTACTAAGACGTTCAAAATTTACATGGTAATGACATATATATTGATTTAAGTTTCATGCTCATCATCTTTAATTGTATGTTATTATAATCGTTGGTTCCAATTTCCCAGACAAAATTATTTAAATTATGAATAGGCAGCTATGGTCAAGGTCGTTTCCGCGACTGCAAAGTTTTTGTGATAAAAAGTAACCTGTTTTATTGCATGACTAACTAAGTAAAAAAACAATTCATCCAAATTGTTTCACTAGTATTTTTCTCAAAGGGATGACAAACAAACACACAAGATCTTATTCCTATAAATATATCGCGTAGTGTTACTACAACTCTCGTTCCGTTTGGTCAACGTTTACGATAATATGAAATATATACTGCAAAAAATAATATAATCCTCTTTTTCAGGTACTTTCGGGCCATATTACTGATAACACTTCTCTCCGTTGTTTTTGGTGTTGCACATGTAACAACGAATATGTTACAAAATAAAACATAAAATAATAATTGTGATTCATTTATCCTGCAATATTCTGTAATACAGAAGATAACAATTTATCTATCATTCATGTGATATCTATACTACAAATATTATAAAGCTGAAGAGTTTGTTTGTTTGTTTGTTTGAAAGCGCTAATCTCCGAAAGTACTGGTTCGAATTGAATAATTCTTTTTGTTTTGGATAGTCCAGTTATCGAGGAAGGCTGTGGGCTATGTAACATCACGCTACGACTAATAGGAGCAAAGACATAGTGGTATATGTGTAAAAAACGGGAGAAATTATTTCATCTTTGAGGCCTTCCGTTGCATGCGCCGTGAAAACGGTTCAAGATACACAAAAATATGTATTCAAGAATAATAGCTCTTTTAATGATCTAAAAAACAGTCCACAACAGTATATGTCTATCTTTTAAGATTAACTCACAAAAACCGTTTTTATGGTACCTAATTTGGTCCAAATAATTTGTTTAAGTCGTATCAACATAATAATATTAATCTTTATTCAAATAAACAAATAAATATGTTGTTGGTTAAAAGTACTTCATTGTGAATTTAAAAAAAACATAGATTTTATCCTGAAAATTCTACGGGATCTCGACCATTCCGAAAATCCCGCAAGAACGGGAACTATGTGGGAAGAACCAAAAATCTGCCGGAAGTCACTAATCCACGCGGACGTAGTCGCGGCAAAAGCTAGTAATTCATATATAAATTAAAACATTTCTGATACCTTACATGTGTATTTTGCTTAATCATTAACATCCACTAAACATTTTATTTACAATGGTTGCAATTTATCTTGGGCAACATTAGCAACAGTTTTATTTGAATTAAATTTATTTTTAAAAAGAGTAGTATTTTTCAGCAATTCTCGTGTTTCTGCCCACCAGTTGAAAGATTTTGTTGTTGTTGTGACTGGAATGCTGACATGCTTTCTATAATTCTCGTCATTGTTGTTGCTGGACGTAGAATTATTGAATATTATGTCAGTCAAATTAATTTCGGTTGTGGAAATGTTTGCTTCCTTTACAATAAATTTACCCTTCACGGCGTCGTAGCTATATGAACCAAATATTGCTCTGAAATAATTTATATATTTGTAAAAAATATATGTGAGATACTTAAGTACATATATCGTCATTACAACAGTAAGTACTTTAACACTTACGGCTTCAAATCAGTTTCAATCACATAACGAGGAAGTTTCGACCGCATACCATTGATCGCATTGCAAAAACTAAAATTGTAATTGGGAACGTTAAATAAAATAAATTTATTATCTACTACCAGACCGTTGAAAACTAATTGTGTATTCTACAAATATAGGTGTAGGCTCCTGATATTAGTTATACTAATAATAGTTTAAAAGCTGATATAATTATTCGATACTTACAAAATTAAAAAAAAACTTGAACGTATCAAGAAACTCCTGACTATATACATTTTATATAACTGATAAATTGAACATGAACAAAATTGTAAAACATTTTTACCGATCGTAAAATTGTACGTAGGTACCTATATCTAAAACATTTATTTCATAAAATGTGCAAATAAAAGGAAAAAAATTGTTAATACTTAAATAAGTATATATTTATAGGAATAATGTTAAAGTAAAATGTAAATCTGTTTACAGTCATACTTATTATCATTACACGTCTTAGATAATATGATAAAAGATTTATAACATTTCTCACATCATTGTTTCATTAGGTACCTATATAATATTATAAAAACAAATAACTGTATATTTTATTTAAAAATATATTATAACCTTCCTGTATACTTTCCTAAAAGATACGTAGTAGGTACGTAGTGTATTAAATCATGAAGTATGAAATTATATAATAAAAGCTCTTTATAATGCCTTTTGCTGAACATGAACACTAATAAAGGGATTAACTAATACGATTGCATTTATGAAAATCATACTGATTATTTAAATAGAGATGAATTCTATTGTAAGAGGATAGATATGGGCGGAGCTGCAGCTTGTGGGCGGGCCTTTTAGTGAACCTCAGCCCTCCACATGAACCCTCTACAGAATGTTCATTACGTTGTGGAGTATCTCTCTAACGACACAAATATGACCGGAGTGCAATAATAAGTGATATAAATTAGAGACCTTTTAAATAAAAACATGGAAAATGCAAATGATAATCACTGTGCTTCTCTGGATACCAATGCATTATCGTTAAATCATAGTGTTTCTCCGACATCCGGTAACAGTTCAGATATATTTCTCTTCGATGATTCTTCGATGTCCGACGGTAGTCTATATGCCAGCGATCAAGAAAATCATTCAGTACCAAGAAAAAGGTAATACATAGTAACACAGCGTTCTTCTATATCTCGAAAAATTACATAGCCTATTTTTCTTGTTTCCACATATTTTTCACTTATGTACTTTACATTACGGGTAAGCGAGGTAGATGTTTTATTATATACGAGTTATACTTGCGAAAATTTGCTAAGATGGCATATATTTTAACTTAAGGCTTGTTTTTTGTGCGAATTGTTTTAAACTCACAACTTACAAGTGATTGACAATGAACGATATAATTATCAAGCTCTTAATGGAAGAAATCTTGATTACTTGATAATCAGGTCGACTTGCCGGCGCCACAGACGAAGATCACGATGTCCTCAGCAGCAGATACAACAGCGGCAAGCAGCGAACTTGCGTGAGAGGCGTCGGATGCAGTCCATCAATGACGCCTTCGAAGGTCTTCGAGCACACATACCGACACTTCCGTACGAGAAACGACTATCCAAAGTTGATACACTGAAACTGGCTATTGGATATATCGGCTTCTTAGGGGAATTGGTCAGTGAAATGTTTTTGATTTAGATTATTTTACCCAAACCTTCATTTCCTTTTTATATCATGAACCTATACATTTTTAGTGGTAAGATATTCTATAGAAGATTTCTTATAATTAAGTTTATCATTATTTATTAACAGCCAACAGGTGTTCTAGAAAATAATTTTTAGTTTTGCCCTTGCTCTTCTGGCCTAAAACCATATATGTATATATAAAATGTGAAACGTGTCCTGCATATCACATATTCTCCAGTCATATAAACTTCAGATGACAGACAAAGTTAAAAAAATGAAACTACCATAGGCTCAATAATTTTTGTTATATATTTTTTGTATTTTTTTATCTTCGTATTTCCCCAACAACAGAAGATTTTATATACCTAAAAGATACATCATTGAAAAAACATAGTCTTATTCCTGTAGGTAGTTTTGAGGGATTATTTTATAAACATAGTACACTAATAGTATTTAGACAGAGTTATGCTCTTTATCTATGTATATTTTTAACAATTAATTTGTAGTTTGCTTTGACTGAAACGGAAATATATGAAGGTACTTATTTCCATTTTATTGCTCACCCCTTACTGAAAAAGAAAATCCCGATGTTGTATATACTCTCAATCTTAGTTACTTTAATTCCTGGCGGGTTTTAAAGAATAGCTATTACATTAAAACCTTGAATACAAATAGCAGGATACAGCTTAGTAGGTTATGTGAAGTTTAAACAATATTTATTTTTCATGCTCTTTCTTTACAGTTCTTTAATTTTATTCTTAATTACAAGAGGTAAATAGTTTAAATAGATAGACAGTTGAGATACAGTCACCTAAATTAAAAACGATTACCTGAACTATTTAGGTACGTCTTACATACTTACTATACTTTCTTATTTTTTATATAATAACTTAGTATATATAGCCTTTGTCGGTATTTATAAATTAGTGTAAGTTTTTATTACCCAATGGTTTAAATCTTGATCTTATTTATTTACTGAAATTTAGGATTTGATTTTAATGCTGTGTACAATAAAGGTACTTTTTATAACAAAAATTTTTGCGGTACGAACTTCCCAACCACAGGGATTAGATATAATTCGAATATATGTTTCAATTTTAAATTATTCTTTTACTTATAAACCAAAAAATTCACATAAATAATCACACAATGTTATTTTAGCGTTAATAGTTGACATCAACTTTTTTAACACCAAAAATTATCTTTCTTTATTTTTTATCGGCAATCCTATTGGTAACGCAAAAAATTAAATCTGTAACTAATAGTAAATGTATATTTACCCAGATACGCGCTGATAGAACAACACCGGAAACTATGCTCAGTGGCGTCTCAAATAACCAAAATACAGATCAAGAACAAAAGAAAATCATCATTAGAGGTAATTCATGTTATCTTCTCTTTAATTTGTTTTAATTAATCACTTTTAATCACTTTTAATGTTAAATTGAATAAAAGGAAACATCAACATGGTAACTCAAGTTTAGAACAAACACAACTATCCGAAAATACATTATCATTTACTTTAATAAAACCAATTTCTAATAATTTAAATATATTTGAAATCTTTTCTTTTACTTTTAAAATCATTCGGAACGTTCCCGAAACATTAACATAAAAATAAAAAAGTATAACTCATACCTGTTTCAAAATTTTCTCATAGTACCAAGAAAAACGTATCGGTGCATATGTATTGTCTATTATATATCTGTATAATAATATAAGCAGCTATAGTAATTTAAGTATTGGTACTATTTATTGCTAGAGATTCTCTACTCCTAACCCTGTGTCAGGGTCGTCGCGCCGGGTCAAACAGTGCCAGGCCCGGCCCTCTCTGTTGCATTTTGTTTGTGCACCTTTTGACGATCGATACATTGCTAATGTTGCGGAACACAATGAATTAGTATAGTTTTTCTTATATTTACAAAAATCGATGCAAATCTTTTAATTCATTTTATATGTGAAAATTTTATGTAAGGGAAAGATGGCTAGTAAAAAAAGAACAGAATATGGAAAACTAAAAATTATAATTATTATGTATTTTATGCGTCAAATTAAGCCTAAGATTAAAAATATAATCGAAGTTCGAAAAACGCATGGACTTTATTTTTTTGCATTTTTTTTTATTAAATTAAACACTAACAATTAAACCAGTTACGCGAAACTTTGGACTGCGCATCACTGTTTAGAGTTAAATCATATTAGGTTTTTTTTTTATTTACTGCGCCTACTTATCACGGTAAGACGGAATGAAACGTTGGTTAAAGCATAGATTAATAAAATAAAGTAAATTTGAAAAACATAGTTTGATTTAAAAGAATACTGGCGAATGTTTAAGAATATATCTGTAAGTACAATATGTACTAATTCTAATAACTAACATATCAAAGTAACAAAATTTTAAACATGTTTGATGTTAACGTAAAACTTGACTTTTAAGACATATTTTTATCTCAACGTCCACTCCAAGAGAAAGAAAATGTTTCTATTTATTTTTAAATCTTATATGTTACCGTACAAATCGTGATGAAAGTGTCTTAAATAATTTATTTATCTCTACAGTTACGACGTAGAATACGATTTTTCGATAATATTTTCAAAAAATAAGGATGTACAAATTCACGACCAAAATTATCATCAATAAAATTAATATCGCGTGTATTCTGTTGTTATCATTGATGGTCCAACGTCCAGGTGCCATCGTCGCTTTGTTCCCACGGGCGCATTGCGTGACCCGTCAGTGAAAAAGCATCCCAGAGAACTGCGGAAACTACCTATTGTGACATTAATTGAAAATGTTCTCTGCAATAATCTTCTTTGCGTGTGCTTTTTTTATTGTGCCCCAATTTAGATAAACAAAAAATGCTCTAGAGGCTAGAGCTAAAGCTGTAGGTAAACAAAAAATTATAATCTTAATAACTTTTTCCTAACAATGACATATAAATGTATGTGTTACATCAGGTACCTATATATTTATTGTATATCATTGTAATATTGCGTAAATAAGGCTTTTAAGTAAATTAATGTTTTATCTTACCTTATGTCCCGTACGTTATGTATGTAATGCAATGATAATTAAACATTTACAAAGGTTAATAATATTTTGATAACGACTGTCCGACGTTTAGGTATTCCTTTAATATATATATTAAAAAAAAATATCATTAAAAATTTACTGCGCAACTTCTCTCTTAGAATCGAGAATAAATAGAAAACAATATGTGCTAATAAATAAAATCCATTATAAAAGCGAGAGAAATATAAACAAGGGTGTCAGCTGTATTGCATTTGCGAATCACACCATAGCAAATTGAGAGCTAGCACTTTGTAAACGGGGAGGCGGAGTGTATTAGAAAACTATTAAACTGTCACCCTTCTTTCAATTCGTATTTAATACGTGATTTGTAACGCGCTTAACATTATAAAATATATTAAGTGTAACGTGTTTGAAGTAAATTACCTAATCGTGTACGACATCATAAATTTCTAATACTTAAAAAAAACGTTTCTCAAATTTATACAATATTATATCAATATAAATTCGTACTTAATTTCTCATTAACATTGCTTACGAAAGCATATTTATATAATTTTTTGTACAGCTTCTAATCTCTTTTTCAATTAATAAAACACCTTATCGAAGTGTAATGTAGGATTTACATATAAATACCGAGATAATCTCGCACGTGCGCGGGCCCCTTCTACCTCTTCAAGTTTTGTTTACAATGCTGTTCAAGTAACACAAAAAGATCGGTTAAACATTGACATACTAAGCACTGGCTGAAATTAGTTTTAAACAATTAACAATTTATGAAGATATATCGTTTCTTGTCAATAAAATATTAATTTTGTTGTTATTATTTTATTTTCTTTTTTTGTTGTGTCTTTTTTATTATAATTATTATATATTTTCCTGAATTATCATGCCAATAAAAATATTACTAGCCCGACAAATTTACGATGCAACCGGCATACCGACGGTAGAAGTAGATATGGTGACTGAACTGGGACTTTTTCGAGTCGGAGTCCCGTCAACGGACGAAAAGAAAATAGCTGAAGCTGTTCAGCTACGTGACAATAACCCTGCTGAATATGGCGGAATGGGTGTATTGAACGCAGTTAAAAACATTAACACTATAATTGCTCCTGAGCTTATAAAACAAAACCTGGAAGTGACATTGCAAAAAGAAATAGATCATTTCATGATTGCTCTAGATGGAACAGAAAATAAGTCAAGACTTGGTGCAAATGCAATTATGTGTGTGTCTTTAGTAGTCGCGAAAGCTGGCGCAGCCAAGAAAGGTGTTCCTCTATATAGACATATTTCTGACATGGCTGGTGTAGCAAGTATTATATTACCAGTACCGCATTTTACTATTTTGACGGGCGGTGTATTAAGCTGTAACGGATTACCATTTCAAGAATACTGCATTATGCCTACAGGAGCTTCATCTTTTACTGAAGCGATGCGAATAGGAACCGAAATTTATCAATACGTGAAAAAGATTGTAACTGCAAAATATGGAGTCGAAGCCTCATACGTTAGTGACTCCGGTGGTTTTGCTGTTCCATTAGAAAGTCATAGGGATGCATTGGTTTTACTTACGGATGCTATTAAGCAATGTGGCTATTTTGGTAAAGCAGATATTTCAATTAACGCTGCTGCTACCGATCTTTTTAAGGACGGAGCATATGATCTTGAGTTCAAAAATCCCAACTCAAATCCCCAAGATTATATGTCATCAGACAAACTTGCTGAGGTATATTTAGATAATATCAAAGAGTTCCCCGTCATTTCAGTGGAAGATGCTTTTGAATTTGACGATTGGGCTGCTTGGTCCACTTTGACTGCGCGCACCCAACATCAGCTCTTTGGGAATGATTTGACTCAGACTAACTTGCGAAGAGTTGGTCTGGCGGTAGAAAAGAAAGCTGGTAATGCTATAGGTCTTAGATTAAACCAAGCGGGCACTCTTACTGAAGTAATTGAAGCCTACAAGTTATTAAAGACTAATGGATTTGGCATAGTCGTATGTGACCGATGGAGAGACACGGATGATTTATTCTTAGCAGATTTAGTAGTGGGCTTGTCAGCAGGTCAGATAAAATGTGGTGCACCAGCGCGATGCGAACGTATAGGAAAATATAATCAAATTATTAGAATTGAAGAAGAATTAGGTGCATTATCCAAATATGCTGGAAAAAATTTCCGTGGCCAAATGTAGTTTTCCACATACTATAACATTGTTCGTTATTTTGTTTTTTTTTTCTAGAATAGATTAAAATAAAAAAAAATATTTATGAACCTGTTAGAAATCCTTAAAAAAACATTTATTATTTACTCCCTAGATACTTATATTACTTAATCGATACTAAAATTGCGACAAGTGGTCAAATTACCGGAAATAGACACTATAATTGACATTCATTATTAAAACTCGGAAAAAGGTGACAGTGCCGTAAAAAATCACTACAGGTGGTATACATTCTATGTAACCTGTACACTGTTTAAGATAAAGATTTTAATTTATTCTCAATGTACTGTGAGATTACTAAATGCAGAGATATAAATAAATATCTTTTCCGATACTGATAAAGGTTAGTATTTTAAAATTTCTCTAAAAACATTTGTATGTTTCAATTAAATGACTCAAACACGATGCACCTTGTGAAATTACTAATAAAATATAAGTATTATCATAAAATAATCGAGTGGAACAGGTCATCCCTATCTGTGGGTGTAAACTCTGGGGCTAAGGGCCATAACAGCTCGCACGTGCGTTACCCTCTATAACCGCACCCCATCATACCACATTCGCAAGTTTAGTTAGCCCCCCGGGTACACTCAATTCTAAATAATTGTAGATAAATACAACTCAGCTTACACTCACTAAGGGATTGGGATGAAAGCATTGAGTGTTTATAATTAACATTATAACTAAATCAAATAGGAGGATGGTTAAAACTCAAAAATTATAAATTGTTAGGTGAGTACGACATAGGCTACAATACAGCCGTTTTAATGAATATGTGTCTTATGACAAAACGAGATTATTCCTATAAAGAATTTTGGATATTTTGATTTTTTTTATTTAATCTGGTCTTATGACTTCAATTCTTTGAACCTATTTCTAGTGCTCAGGAATATATAAATGATAAATATATCTAAGAAAAAACATGTGGATTCTTGAGAAGTAAAAATTTTAAATTAATTTCTTACACTATATAAGTACATATCTATTCTATTATTTGGAAGAAAGGAACAGTTACCACCACACTACTGTTACGACTCTAGTAACCTGGAATGATAGTAAAATCGATTTGTAACTATAAGATACATTTTGGTGTAGATAATTACTTTGTGATAGTTTAGTTAGATAGTCAGCACATAAATTGTAGGTAAATTTCTCAATTTGATTTTGTTTGTCAAAATTGCAAAGGAATGTTAAGGACATTATTGATAAACCGTAAATGCTATGTCTACGACGTAGCCCAGCGAGAGGTGCAAGTAGCAAAAATGAAATTCAGATCGATCACTTTACAATAAATTCGAAAAATATAAGTTTTATTTCAATATTTAATTTCGATTTTTTTAAATCACTATCAATTTATTCGAGTGATCTTATCTAGATTAAATATATGAAACAAATTACGTATAAAAATAATAATGTATATATATAATTATAACTCCATAGGAAGGAAATTAGCAATATGAATATTCTTATCCATCCACAGATAGATTAAACTTTCTATGGGTGTATGATTATTTTAGATTAGTGTGGAAAAGACGCCTCATATAATTTTAAACAGAAACAATTCAAATTAATTTATTCTATGTAAGCGTATAACTTAAGTAAATTATTAAAAGGACACCATGCAAAACCGACGCTATGGGTACCTATGAAAATTTTGCGGAACATTCGAACTCAAGCACACACGTCAAGCGTAATGTTAAACCATGTTGATGATTGTGCCTGAGTGTAAAAGCTTGCTTACAAAATAATCTATTCCAACGATAATTGTTTATAGATATTAAATAGGTACATATAGATATCAATAATAATCTTGTTAATTATTCTTAAAATCAAGCCTTTATTTTTCTTTTTGGATTTAATTTGTACATTTGGCAGCTTTTTATAATTAATGTGTTCAAAAAATAATGGTTTCTTCAAAAACTTATACAGGGTGACTGGTGAATTACTATCAATATTTAAAGGAGATTACTCGGTACATGATTCTCATTCGAATTATGTAAAAAAATAGGCACTTAATTTTTGACAAAATTTCCGTATAAATAAATAGTGTTGACACGTTCCAAGTGTTCCAAGTGTGGACGCGTGCGGCGGCGTGCTGATACAACACCACGCCGCCGCACGCGTATGTGTGAGTGTGTGTGTATACCTAATCTGTAGGGTGTTCACACGATGCGTAATTAATTACATAACTTTTGGTTAACTTTAATTAGAAGTTTATTAATATTCATGTTATATTAATTTTTATTTTGTCATATATGATCGTCAACTATCACGTCCTCAAGTATCGATAGTAATTCACCAGTCACCCTGTAGATAGGAGATCTAAAAACTGATACATCAAACAAATAATATTTTTTTAAATCGACTGATAGCTAGATGGTAAACCTACTTACAGGGTTTTCAACCATACAAAAAAACATCTCTTTTTTTTAATCGGTAAAATTTATTACAGATAAGTATTTAAGTAGATTGTTGTTTCAGGCAGCAATTTTCAAGCCCATTCGCTATCTTGGTCGCGTAGGGGCGAACGGCCGTCCGGCGGAACCTTACACGCCAAGATATGGGTTCCAGAAGACCCTAGGTTTTTTACCTCATCCACGAACATCATCGAAAAAGAAGAGCTCAGATAAAAATATTTCAAGTATACCTTTGCCTGACTTATTATGTCGTGATCTCCATTGGAAGCGAATTTACAGGAAAACTATAAGTAGTTACAAATTTTGATACACACATTTGTTGTTTCATTTCAATTATTGTACGGAAATATGGACTAAAAAAAGATGAAAAATCTCACTTCAATGTATGTAATATTTTAATTGAACCTTAGTTTAATTATATGAGGCCTACAATAGCTTTTCCTTAGTCATTGTTTATATAATTTTTAGTTATTTTATAATCAATTCTTATTATTTTGTATTTTTATACCTAAATCAACATGAGGATGTATATCGTACTCAAAAGCACTATGGAACAACATTGTTTTAAAGTTACTCACCTATTTGTAAGAAATTTTAATGTATCTATGTATTTACTTTTTAAGTTAACAGTTTTACTAGTCATAATGCCTGTTTCAATTAAATTAGAATTAGCTTATAATTTGAAAAAAAAATCGGGTAGAAAAATATATTCTTAAGTCTTAATGAACAATATGCAATTTGCCTTTGTATGTATTAAAATATGTACCTAATATATTCACTGCCGCACAGTACGCCTGCTTGTTGACTAAATTAAATTATGATAATTAAATATTACCTATATCAATATTACAATAAAAGTATACATTTCAAACAACTATTGTTTTATTTTGTTTAATACCATATACGAAAGTAATGAACTCATTAAATTCTTAGAAGTTTGTTATTATTATGGAAGACAAATCCACTTAGAATCCTACTTCGCAGTAACTTATATTTTGTTATCATTTTATATTTTTTGATACGCAATTCGAAATAAATGATTATCTCTATACGTCATCTACATAAACGTAATTTTGAGTGTAGGTACACTTCAATTTACAATTCAATTCAATTTCAATTTCTTGAACGAAATTTCCTTAAATTTAAATTTATCCTTAGTAACCTAACAATTTTTTTAATTAAAGAGTATCGAAGATTCACGTAAACATTATAATTATTTATTTTGTGCCATATACCTACGCCTTTTCTATTCGCTACCGCGTTTTTTCCTAAATTCTTTCTATACACCGAAATAATTGTTCCGATTAATAACGTGTAGATACTTAGGTAGATATTGTCTTTAACTACCTACTTAATTATATTCAATGTTTCTTATTTCACATTTATTGAAATTAAAAAGACGTGTAGACAGAAATACTGTTTCTTGTCGTCATCGTAGTAAAACGTTTAATCAAAAGTGAATCAAGCATTTAAATATTTTTATGATGAAGGGAAAATTTGTAAGTTATATCTTTTGTAATAAATTTATATAAAAAAATTTAATACCCTTTATATTCGTGCTTCACGGATTTTTTATGTAAACAATATATATGGACTTTAAAAGTAATAGCTATATAACTAAGAATTTGGTGTTTTCAGTGAAATTTAAGCCTCCTCACAAAAATTTCTGCTGTTTCAGAGGGTGGCATTGCCTACTGTGATGAGATTTCCCTTAGTTTTAACCCATAGGAATATGTTGAAAAATATTATTTTCTTTTACAAATGTAGGTACTTATCTTTTAAAATTTTATCTGTCTTTCTGTCTGAAATAACGCATAAGTAACTTAGTAACACAATAGTGACTAAATCTAGTCAAAATTACTTTAGTTGATTAATTTCATATTGCTTATGGTATGAAAATTTATAACTATCTACGTTAAATAGCGATTAAAAACAACATATCAAAAGCAACGGTTAATTAAAATCCCGTTTGCAAGTTTTTAAAGTGGGTAGATACTAGGATGGAATTGTTAATTTAAAAAAGTAGTCGATTAGAGAATGAAAAATCTAACCAAAAAGAGAGCTTTATTGACTTTTCGTTGGAAAGTCTTAAACGGCAAGAAAAATCTTGATAGAAATGTTAGTAGGAAGTATTGAAGGTCTAGGAAAAGTAGGTTATGGAAACGATGTTAATATACGAAAACAATCCTAGTAAACAATGATTAATCTTTATTTTTTTAAGTATGAATCAAAAGTAATGTGTATATAAAATTAACAAGAGATTTGTACAGATATTAAGCTTCCAAAATAATTTGGTTCGGTAAACAGACTAAACAGAAAATACTCAGGGCGGTACGTGGTACTGGATCAATATGAAGCCGAGATACGGATTGGTTACAGGTGTTGATTCCCACCGCCTCCTCACACAACTACCACGACTGTAAAACGAAGACCCCAGTCTACTGTACAGTAACAATTGTTTTATACTCGTGCCATTAGTTTCTAAACATTTCATTCAAAGAACTCGTCAAATATGACAATGTTTTTTAAATTTTGAAGCATACAATTTGTCAAAACATTTAGGTTAGCTTTTAGCTGAACTGTTAATTTATAAATTAATGTATGTTAAAGACTTGCTTGAATTAAGTTAGAACTAAATGCAAAATTTAATCATTTCATTGTATATATTGATATTATGTAAGCGACGATTTCATCATTAGCTTGTATCTATTATACATTTAACTATTGTTTCTTTAAGTAGGTTATCTCTTTGTTGTTAAGTTTTGAGGTCTTCAATTGCTTGTGATTAAAATTCAAGGATGATAAAAATAATTTATTACTAAAATAATTAATATGGACTGTATGCATGATAAACAAATCTTTAAAGTAAAAATTACACTAATAAACAAATAACTATAATAATTATTAAACTTTCAGAACAATAATTTTATAAGGCAATATATAGTTTTGCAGTTTTAAATATATTCAAACATAACAATTGGGTTTCCATACAAGGTAGCATTCAGTTACCCGGCACTAATTTAGATTTTAATTCTACATTCTTAAATTACTATTACTGTACAGGTGATCTTAGATAAATATGTGAAACTACCAACAAATTGCAATTTATGTCATATCGCATCCTTCCATTACTGGGAAAACGCATAATCCATCCCTACTAATATTATAAATGCGAAAGTAACTCTGTCTGTCTATTACGCTTTCACGCCTAAGGGAGCGTTCAAGTATTACGTAACGCAATTTTGGGGGAGGGGGGTCTCGTAAAACGTTACGATGCGTTACTGGGGCGGGAGGGGGTGTCTCTTACAAAACGTTACGTAGCATTGTTTCTAAAAATATATATTAATAAAAACCCCCAAACTGGCAACTCTTTTCATATACATTACATTATGTTGACCAGATTGTATTAGTCTGGTCGATATTTTTATTTGTTTATCCAAGTTTGCAAACCTCTTAATTGATATTTTACGGGGAATACCTAGATTGCTTTGTAAGTCTTTTGATGAAATTGATCACTTGAGTGTTACGTAACGTTTTGAGAAGGGGGGGGGGGGGCTACAGAAAAACGTTACTGTGCGTTACGAGGGGGGAAGGGGGGGTCAAAAATCTTCGAAAATTGCGTTACGTAATACTTGAACGCTCCCTAAACCACTGAACTGATTTTAATGAAATTTGGTACAGAGATGGAGTTGACCTTGAGAGAGAACAGGATAGTTTTTATCCCACAGGAAATTTGAAACATTTTTTGAAAGGTTCTCTTGGAAACGCGGTATAACTGAACTCCACGCGGGCGAAGCTGCGGGTGGAAAGCTAGTATTCAATAACATTGCAATATGTTTAAGTAAGTAATATATTCCGACAATCAAAAAGTTCTGTTTTCAAGTAGAATTCATCAACAACATAGTAAACCAGTAAAACAGTGCTTATAATAGTTAAGTTACAAGCAGATATTTAAGTGTAGCTAGTGAGTGTGGTCATAAAGCTTCAAATTTTACTTCATAATGCATTTTATTTGTATACTTCAACGTTGTTTTAATTAAGATACAATTTGAAATAATCACACAATCTCAGAAATTAAATGCGTGAAACTTCATCCACACAATTATAAGCAAGTTATGTACAACAAAACTATAAGAATCTTTAAATTTTATAACATCACACTAATAACCAACCACTGAGGCACACTAATCCTATACAATTTGATATCTTAAGTCTAAAATGTGGAAAAGGAGTTAACAATCTTTAACCTACATTTGGATATAAACTCCACATTACCTACCATAACAAATCCCCTAGTATTACAAGACCAATAATTGTAAAATAATTTTTAAACCAAATCCTACTAAAACTTCATTTATCTCCTTAACCTAAGAAAACCTAACCTAGTTTCAAATTCTCACTAACAGCCATCGATTGACATATTTCAATTTATTGTATGCAACAAAGGCGACAATAATATGTATATACAAATACATAGTAAAATAGTTCATATACTGCATTAATGAAGTAAGTCAAATGAAAAGAAAAATAAATATAAACAAAGACTATGATTATTATATTATGTACATATATCAAGAAGAGAGAGAAGATATTACAAAAAGACAATTTTGCTCATTATGGGGTTCACCTTTTAACCTAAAATTACAATTGTTTTGTTTTTTTCTATAGAGTGAAAGTGGAGAATTTATATAAATTTTTGTATATACATACCTACTATTAATTGGTGTTTCTTAATTGCATGTAATGTCTGTTAGACCTTGACCTAAAAGTCCTTATTGCACATGTGATGGTAACTTTTTCATTATTTTTAAAAGCACTGGTTTATATACTAAAGCCCAAGGCAAGAAAAGTACAAAGCCTGAGAAATAGAGACTGGCATATATTTGCCACCATTTGGAAAATACTTTGAGATCAAATGGTATTAAACTCCAACCCATGAAAACAATGGTGTAAGTTTTAAGAATGCCATACAATATGTATTTTGCTGGTGATGCCCAAAGTTTATGATAGTAATCTGACTTTGAGAGTATACCTTCCAATTCTTTTTCCATATATATGATTATAAATTCATTGAAAAATGTCATATAATAACCAGACCGTGTGCCATGCCATAAAGCGAGAAACACTAAAGTGAAAAATTGACTAAGATTACGGTTACCAAGAAATTTAAGGCGTTTGTATATATATTCTGCAGCAAAGTGGTTAGTGTTACAATTAAAACTGTCAATATAATGCTGAAACTTAGTGGCTCCCTCAAATCTCATTAATTTAATGTTGTTACAGCCATCCCATCTTGTTACTTCTCCGTATTCTGTTTTTTTTGTGCCATTGTATGATAGGCCGAATCTTATACAGGATGCTGTAATAGACATTGTATTATTCTAACATGTGAAAAGTGTATGGTGTTCCAAATAACAGGTAAATTGAATATAGACAAAAACTTTATAAATAAAGGTGTAAAAAAGTACTCCCATATCTTTTGCAAAACATTGTGTTAAAAAAGACATACCTTCTGTAAGTAACCAGCAGGAGATATATTTATAAAGAGCAAAATGTGCCCACAATCCACTGTAAAAATGACGATAAATTATGGAAGTACTATAAAATTCTTCAGAGAGCATGTAATTCATGCTGAAAACGGATACTGAAACAATGAATTTAGTTTAAGTATTTATACATACATAAAAATTATATAATCTAGTTTATTAACTATTACTATAATTTTATTTAGTTAATAAGCTATCAAAATATCAAAAATTTTGAACTTACTGCCAACTTGAAAAGCAATTAAATAGATCATGCCTTGTATAAATCTGTTTAATGCCTGTTTTTCTAGCATTGGTGCTTCTTTCTCAATGGGGAATTTGTCAGAAACAAAGTCAATATATCTTCTAAATGAAAATATGGGACCCACAAGGAAACAAGCAGGGAAGTAAACAAAACCAATAAGTTCTAAGAAAGTAGGTGGATTTATGAGGGCCGTTTTTTTACTATTTTCAGAAAGACTCTCTCCACTTTTCATTTTCTGGCCATCCCATAAATCAAATGATAAAGCTATGAGTTTTAAAGTTAAGACACAATGAGGCATTGTCCATGTGATGTCATAGTCTTCTGATTCCGTCTGTGCATATCCAATCAATAGATAACTCATGTTAAAAATAAATGTTATTATCGCATTCTCCTTACTTGGGCCAAATAATTTTGTTGTGATATAAATAACTATTGCCGGAATAGCATTATGATAAAATGAAAGGCCAAAGTTATAGAGAGCAATATCGAGCCCAGCCCCAATGAAAAACAGATGTCTATACTCCTTGTACTCTTTGATGTATTTATTATATATAATTCCTAATGGATACCCTAATAATATAGAAATCAATAGCTTAAGGGCAGGTTCAGTTGTGCCAATTAAGAAAGCCACATATGGTACAGGACTTAAATCTATCCAACTCAATAGCGAAAGTAAAATTCCTATCATTTTGATTTACCTGAAATAAAAATAAATATATATTATTAAAATTTTCTATAAACTATTATTACATTACCATTATAGAATTATTTGAATTTTCTAATTCACTGCTACAGTTGCTGACAATATTATAATATTACCTACAATATTAATTTTTTATTGCACAAGTAACGATTTTAAAATTATGTCAAAGTGGTTGATTTATATAATGATAATCTTTTTTGTATATTATAAAAACATTATATCATAGATACTCCCGCATGAATAAGCGCATTGTTCTAAAATTACAGTTATTCATGGTTTTCACATAGCATTCACCATAACTACCCACGTATATGAAATTAACTGACAAAAAAATATAGAAAAATATTTGAATAGAAATTTTGGAAAACTCTAAAAAAATTAATGTTATTATATTAGTTTGATACTAAGTAGTGGACAATAAAAAATCTAAATCTTAACTTACAGTTGCAGGTGTTGACTTAACGCAAATGTAAAGTGTGATGTTATTCACTGTTAGTGATGGATAAAAATGACGATAAAAGAAATGAAATTTAATATTGCAGTAGCATATAAGTATGTAGATATTGTGGATTGTGGAATATAGCAATGTCATATACTTGCCATGTAAAATTGATACAGATTACAAAACTGAGCTTTTTTTAAATACAGGAATGTATATAACACTGAATGTATTGCATATTTTTTACTACTTAGTAGTTTAGTACTGAAAAGTATTGAAGTGTTAGTGTTATATAATTTCAATACTGAGAGTTAAATCAAAAAATATGTTATACCTACAAAGAAATGTATAACTATTATTTCAATTATTGTTTCATTTCAGATTTTGAATAGGTTAAAACTTGGATGGATCTATAATATTTATAAACTTCTTAGTTTAGAATCCTCTTGGATTCTAATATATGTTTACCAGGTAGATAAAGATTACACAAATTGATATCACGTTTAACGGTGTGTATTTATTTTTTCTATTTAATTTATAACATATTTTTATTATTCTAATTAAAAAATCTCTTATTAAAATTATATTTTTCGATTAATAAAATATTAACTTACTGTAGTTCATTTAAAAGTGTAATGTAAATTTAATAAATAATACGAGGTATAGTTAAGCAACATTTTAATTTCCTATCCATTCAAAAATCATATTAAGATCATTTTTTTACTCTGGCTACACAGCGAAGTTACAAAAAACCTTAGTCCTTTATTTACCTTTTGTGAGACTATTTTCCTAATTTTTAAAAGTATTATCAATATGGTGTACGTAAAAGAAGGTAACGATTACTCTTTAATAATTACATTTTAATTCAATAAACTAACATTAAAATTAAACATTCATTTTATATAAGGCCACGTCAGTTTTGGTTTTGCGTGGGGTTCTGGAAAGTTATCATAGGATCATATACTTATAGCTAAACTGATGTACTTAAAAAATACATCATCATTTTTTAAATTAATTTTCTATTATTATCGTTTCATCATCATTTTTTCAAACTTTTTTTGTATAATAGATCAGATTTTGTCAATTTGAACAATATATTTAAGAGTAATTATTGTCAATTACAGTGTAAACTCCATGTAACGTCACTCGATTTAACGACAAACTCTCTAAGAGTCGAAATCATTTGACTTTGGTTGGTTTAGCTTGTCTACCATACAATGATACACTCTACATAGCATCACACCCAGTCTCAATAACGACAACAATTAAGTAATAAAAAGTACCTTGTAAGTTGCTAAAATTAGTAAAAACTGCGCAGCTGTGTATGTTCTATTGTCGTTTTGTTATCCTAGCCACCAATAAACTCGACTGTCGGAATCATGCATACCGAACTTTCTAAGAAATTCGTTCTTCACCAAGATGCCTCAATATCGCAAGATATGAATAAAATAACTAACAAAATACAACAACATTACTGGTGCAGCAAAAGACGTCAAACAAAAGTAACAGACTATATGCAATAGCGTTCTAATCACTTTCTTTTTTATGTACATAAGTACTAACACTAGTCTGAAATAAACTTTGTCTTTTTCTAATTCTGACTTTTCTTCTCTCTATTTAACGACAACTCTCTATAACTCCATAAAATGCATAGTCCCTTCAGTGTTGTTATGTAGAGTTTACACTGTATATATTTTTCTGCTGTTCAGTTTTCATTAAAATCTTCTATTTTGTCAAATTTCAGATGGAACAGTCGTGGATAGAAGAGATTTCAGCATTTTTGGATGGTTTTGGGGAATCGTAAATTTCTTTTATCTGCTGTAAGTAATCATGATGTTGATTATTTAGAGATTCTTAGTTGTTGGTTTGAATTCATTAACAGAAAAGATTTGAGTTTTACTAAATGAAAACAACAACATGATAATAGACATCCACTCCACTTATACTGGTACGCCTAAGTCCTGATGTCACCACACCTAATTTAAAGATTAAACTTTGTGTTCTTATTTTTTCACGTTTAATTGTTACCATCCTGCTGTTTATTTAATTAATTTTTTTCAGTTTTCAGACACTCATAAATCCTAACTTCAACAAACATGGTGACAAGTATGTAAGAGACTTCCGACCCCCTGGCAGTGGGTAGGTGAAATATTATTGAAACAGCAACAACTGCACATTGCAATAATTACCATTTAAATAATATCATACCATACCATAAAATCTAAGAAATACTAGTGGCAAAGTGTGTAGAGAATTCTGTATGCAGTGATCAGTATCACTGCATACAGAATTCACAACTAGACCATTTTTGGAAAATTCTGTAAGACTAAAATACTATCAGTAGAAATAATGGTTTGTAAATGTTGTTATATATTGGTTTTTATAGTTTGTTGCTCTTTCAATTTTGCTCATTAAGTTAATTTGATTTAACATAATGTATGGTTGCAGTCAAGTTTAAAAAGTTTGGTATTTAAGAATAGGTTCCAAAAGATTATGCAGATTCTTTCTTTTTAGAGCTCATGTTAATGTCCTTTAATCTGCGTCTAGGACTTTGAATGGAATTTATTTCTTTAGGAATAAATTTCCTAATTCAACAACAGAAAAGTAATTAATGTTGTTGGCAGAAGATGCTTTTAAAGGTGTCATCAACACTTAATGTCCTAAGAGAGTACTAGAAAAAGAAACACATTAACTCCAAATTCCAATTACAAATATTAATTGAAAATATAATATGTACGTCATTGTTCCTTGTTGATACAATTTGGACAGTATTAACACATTTAAGACTTTTTATTTTATATTGTATTAATTCCAATCCTTTTCAATTTCAGGCCTCCAAAACCTCCATCAAGGAAATTTGGCGGTTTTGGACCTTCGGGTTCTGGTCCCGCCCCACCACCAATGGGAGGTGGATGTGGTTGTGGATGATCTAATACGTTAAATTGTAAATTCTCATACACATGCTTATAGTTATCATATTTTTCCTTCATATCTTTTTCATTAACTATATAAATATCTTGCTTAAATATGTTAAATTGTAATCGTTATTTCAGCTTAATGCGAAAAATATTGTCTGTGTATAACCAATCTAGATGTTGCTATAAATATCCTTTAGATACTATTTCAAGGTTCCTTATAATATTCGTTATATTCAGAGTTTGATATTAACTCTATATTGCAATATACAGGGTGCGCCAGAGAAACTTACTTATTTGAAAGGTCAATAAAAAAAAAGTACTTCAGTTATTGTTTTCATTTTTTTTATTTGAGAATACAATATCCCAATTTTTTTTTCATGCAGTCTTAAAAATGACATCGGATAAATGGTGACCCCCATTGCGCATACACTGATGAAGTCGATTTTTGAAATTCGTATCCACTCTTCGCAGCATATCAATCGGTATGTTGGCAATGGCGTCGCAAATGTTGTTCTTGAGGTGTGCTATGGTCCGTGGTCGATCGACATAAACCAGGGAAATGTGGAAGTGAGCCTCGTCACTGAAAAAAACGACCGCGTCTTCAGGCAGGTTGTCAATCAGCATTTTACATGCATTTTGACGGGCAACAAAATCGCGTTCAGTTAATTCTTGCACAACAGCCAATTTATAGGGATGAAATTGAAGGTCTTCATGGAGAATTCGTCGAACAGTGGTATCAGAAATTCCCATAGCAGCTGCGTGTTTGCGAGCCGAACGCCGGGGAGAACGCACAACTGACTGCCTCACTCTTTCGATATTTTCCGGAGTTCTGATGGTCCGTTGAAGTCCATTTCTGGGTTTAGCGACACTTCCACACTCCCGAAATGAGTTAAACCACGACAGAATCGAATTACGGCCAGGAACGAGTCTGTGAGGAGGAATTTCAAAGCGAGCGCGGAAGGCACGTTGCGTAGTAACAAGTGAGCGACCGTTAGAAAAGAAGCTCTCAACTGCGAAGGCCCGCTGCTCTCTAGACCAGAGCATGATGGCAGCTGACTGGAGGGAGAAACAAACTTGGGAACTTCCCCCTCCAGATGCGCCCCCTCTTGCCCCTCTACCCGCCCAACTTACCGCGCAGTAATTTTTTTAAATAAGTAAGTTTCTCTGGCGCACCCTATATTATTATATTTTGTTAACTGATGTCAAGGCAAATGGTAATAAGTATAAAGTATCATTGAATGTACTGATTATTCATAATTTAAAGCAGATAAATATATTATCTTACTATAACTGTGATCACTATATAAATTATTATTACTTTGTACAGATACGTATATGTTTTTTCTCAATAAAAAATTTTATGTACTTCAAAATGATCTTATATGTCTCTTATATAAGTATATATATTTCTTAATAAAAAGTAGTGGAACCATGAGAATTACATAGGAATTTGGATAAGAATTACATAGAAATTTCGGAGCACAGAAATTCGACTCATACAAATAATACTAAGTTAATAAGAGCTGATAAACTAAAAAAAAGCTTTTTTGTTGTATTTAACTGTTCTCAGTATTTAGAAGAATATGATAAAAATTCATTGAGCATCACTATTAATTACCTTATAGCTAGAAGTAATAAATAAATAAAAGAAATAAAGGGAGAATATTATTTATTTTTACACACACTACATATGATATGCCACACAATTTACGATTGAAAAAAATTTAGGCCTTATTATCTTCTATATATATAAAAATGGATTGCTGTTCCTTAGTCTCGCTAAAACTCGAGAACGGCTGAACGGATTTGGCTAATTTTAGTTTCGAAATACTCCTGGCAGTCCAGGGAAGGTTTAAAAGGTGAGAAAAATTGATTCATTACTGGGAAAACCATAAAAACAGCCCTTTTCTATTTCCCATACGAAAGTTTTTTTGACATTAGATTTGACAACTAACAAATATGTCAATTCTGTTTGATTGAAACAGGAAAAACCTGATTATTTATGGCCTCTAAGACGGAATAGAGTTCGACTGGTCAGCTACACCTACATATATTACTCTTGACCAAACTAACGCAGACGAAGTCGCGGGCAAAAACTAGTATTAAATAAAATACAGAAACAATCTGAATATGGAAAGCTTTCGTCAGAACCTTTTTGTGGTCTTAATTTGCTTTTTAATTTTTAAATAACGGTATAAAGTACTTAAATAAAAACAAAACAAAATCACAGTTAAACGTGGTTACACATAATTATTTGCAATATTTTTAATAATTAATCTTAATTTTAATGGGTAAAATCTAAAGACTAAACAAACACGATAATAAAATACATATTTCAAGAATAAGATAGATTTAGGTTACATTATGTAATTTTATACCTCACTTGGATAGGAAAAGCAATATAGCTATAGTGCTAAAGAAAAATTTAGGGTTCACATTTTGGCAGGCTGGAGAATCGTATAGGTAGAACAGCCACAGGTTCTGAGATATTTGGCTTATTGATATAAATGCTCCAAGTCATCTTATCTAGTTCAAAAAGACCTGAAAATTTACATGTCGAGTATATTATAACTGACTTAACCTCTGAATTAACTTTCCTCTACATCATTGTTCCATTCTATAATCTATGAAGATTGTTTACCGGCAGCAATAGTCTTTATAATGGAGTCCTTTTTTTCCTGGAACACCTGGAAATCTTGACCAGATACATCAGACAAAATATTTTTTAAATCCTTTCCGTTTTCTGGAGGTGGATGCGCATGAATAGCTTTGAGCCTAGCCGTGCTACTATCTATGATCGGTCCAATCACTTCCTTCACAGATAAACGTTGGTAGCTGTTGACAAATTATTATTTGCACTTCATATAGTTTATTTATACATTATAAAACAACATATGCTTCCTTTAAAGTTAATCTATATTAATTATTGTGGATATGAATACTTTTTTACGTATAAATTAAGTTTTACTATAATAAAATCAATACTATCTTACATGTTAGTATGAATCAAAGGTTCATCTACGTAATTGTTGATGTTCAAGACGGATCTGTCCGCTTTAAGATCCGGGGCTACTTCCACATTGTAAATCTTCTGGTCGCCACATTTATCAGACCATATCATGTTAATAGAAAAGCCGTTCCCGATGCCAAGACCCTCATCTCGTAGAATTCTTTCAGCGTCACTAAAGTTCTTAGACGCCAATAAAGCTCGGGTAATAAATGTTCTTGCTGTAATTAGAATTCAATGTACAGAAATGTAGTCTTTTGAAGTAAAGAGCTGTTAGTGCTACGTACGTTAGCCATTACATATTCAAGATTGAGTTGCCGGTCGTGCGGTTTCCACTGACCGGAAAATGCAATTTAGGTAGCAATTTTGCAAGTCAGATTAGCTCAACGTGTGGGAATAATTATGAATCATTCATATTACATTTTCATAGCTCCATGTTACATACCTAAATACGTTAAGTTGATTCGCTTACGAGATTTATTTTTAAATAATTAGCCTTTTTAAGTATATAATATGACGTAATAAGTTCCATAAGACAACATGAGTTTAACTTACGCGTGTTTCCGGGTTTTAATTCTAGAGGGCTAAGTGTGTTTATAGAGAAAACCAATCCGTTCTCATTATACCCCATTGTATAACCTGGCATATGTCCGGCGTAGCAGAGAGAAGCAAATCTTTCTTCAACAGCCTAAAAATTTATAATTAAGTCATGATGAACACTAAAAGTGATCAAAATATGAAATTCTATGTAGGATAAATAATATATTTGTTATAAGTTACAAGTACTATTGGGAGAATTGTGCTTTATTTCAAAATATACCTAAATATGAAAGTATTGTTTGTATATCTTAGTAAGGAAATTAAAGTGATATAATTTAAAAAGGTAAATAAAGAAAAATAAAAGAATATAACAAAATGGCTAAAATAAAAGAATCGTTCCTTACTCCAAGTTCCTTGTCTTCGGGGTCTGGTATGATATGTGCTGACATTATGTAGAAATGGTTCAGTGTTTCACCGAAAGCGTCTTCAGTATGTGCCAGTACAGCCTGTAACTAACAAAATATACCTATATTTAAATCTTATTTTTAGTTTTGCAGCTACTTATTTGAATTGTTGTTTTTCATACATACAAAAATGAGTAGATGAAACATTGCCATTTTGTTATCTTTTTTGTTGACACCGATTTAAACAGTAGGCACTCTAGGTACTTAATAATTTTATATATGCTTTATTAATGCATCAAAGATCATATTATATCTATTTAATATTTTATGAAACCTATAATACAATAAAATGCACTTCATAGACTGTGTATATATCTACATATTAGTGTGAACATGATTAAAAAAATATTGTTAGGTACAGACTGAATCAATATTAGTAAAAGTACCATCAAATTAATGAAATAAGATACCTTTTATACATTTTGTTTTACAAGTTATTCATTAGTCAGAAAAAAATAAAAATACGTATGTCGACAACCACTTATTAGTTATATTTAATAGGTACTAACACTTTTAGGGGTTTTAACAGCCAGAGAACTGCAGCCTCCTGTGTCGTTACGGGGGATATGATTATCGTTAATGGTCCCAATTAAGTCATCCATTTGCAACAGGAAAAGCTGAAAGTAGCAAATTCTAAATTTAGGTAGTAATAGAGGAATGTAATAAGATAAATTTGTCACTTTTGGACATAAAAATACGTAGATTTTTTAAGGCTGCTGGGATATAGCAAACTCTTAATTTTGCTTAGCCAAAAGGGCTTCAAATTTAAAATTATGTATTCTCATGATAAAAATTTTCGTACAAACAATCAGGGTAAACGGTTTTATATATAACTTTTGTATAAAATACGTATTGTGAATAGTTCGTATTCACAATGAGTATATCTTATGAGTTTTTAAATTAGAAAAACTAATACTTTAAAATAATACAATAGAGGATTGTAGCTTAAATACCTGATGGAATGGTACATTAGCACCATCTGCAACACCTTGCATTTCTTTAACGTAGTATGGGTATCTTTTTTTCATGTTAGCAAGCGTTTTCTCGTAAGCATCTTGACCTGGTATAGTTTTGTATTCCTTTTCGAAGTCTCGTAAGTTTTCATAAGAAGATAGGAAACTCTTGATTATTGAAGCAAAATTGCGACCCTTTAAGTAAATTATTAAATTTTAAACAACACAAAAATGGAATAATTTTGTTGTGATTTCAAAACACATAAATGTAGAACACATACGTATAGGTTCGTACGAATAAATAGACGTGTATGGTGGATTGATATGAGAGCAACTTTGTAGCATCATGTGCAGTGTGTATGTATGTGGAGACAAAGTAGGGGAGACTGGGTAACAGTGAATCATTTTTTTAAAGAAGTATTACGCCGTCGTTTATGGCAAAATGATACATCTTTGATATTAAATGATAATGCAAATATCTAATGTCTAAAATAAGAGACATTTCATTGCGTATGCTATCCATATTTACAAGGTATAGGCACTTTAAAAAAAAATTAGAAATGATCCACTGTGGCCCGGGAACGGGTCACTTTGGATCACTGCATGGGTGATAGTGAATCGGACCAGGCACACAGGATCAAGTGCAAAGAAATATTTAAAAAATATCAATTTTCATTTTATTATAATATTACTACTTGTACTAGGTTCTAGACAGTCTTTTACGTCAAAATAATGACATGACATTTTCTAAATTATCGAAGAACAAACCAACATTATAGCGATTGAAAGACGACCTAGCAACGGCTCTTATTTTTAGCCATTGAAATAAGTTTTAGTGTCAGTGGTGGCCTAGTGGTCAAAAGGCTCGCCTCTCGTAGACGAGGGCGCGGGTTCGATCATGGCAAGTATCAATATGATTTTTCCGAGTCATATGTACTTTCTAAGAGTATTTAGACATCACTGACAGACAGTGAAGGAAAACATCGTGAGGAAACCTGGATTTATAATTTCACAATTATGTATGAGTTTGAAATCCCCAATCCATCTTGAGCAAGCGTGGTGAATGGTGGTTAATGCTCAAATCTTCTCCATGGGAGAAAGAGGTCTTTGCTCAGCTGTGGGCTCTGATAGGCTGATGACGATGACGAAGTAAATTTTAGAGCATTACTTATTTGTTCTTCAGTATGAAGTCCGATAGTAGTCTTTTTTACTACATTACAAGGCATTTTTACCTAAAACATAAAGTAAAATAAATCTTAGCTTGTTGAGTTACAATGGATGAACAGTTCACTGTGACCCAATACAGAATGATTCACTGTGACCCATTGACCATTATAGAAAAAGAATATAAACCAAAAAAAAAACTATCTATCTTGAGGACAAATCAATATGTATTACAATGGATGTAAGGTATGACAAGTATACGTCATTGCAAAAACATCGACATTATTTATTCAATTAGGAATTAAATAAATTTAAAAAACTCGTAAAAAAATAGATTAGGTACTTATGTAGGGTCCAGAGTGAGGCAGCGCATGCTCCCGTTTCGGGGGGCGCCGGCGACTAGTGCCTCGCGAACAGGTATAACCGAGCGGCAAATAAAGGTTTTTTTTTGTGTGCATGAGTGCAACATATACTATGTTATTGTACATTATCCACTGTGACCCGCGATTCACTGTGACCCAGTCTCTCCTACACATCCGTGTGAGATGATATTACCATCTATTCATTTGCTACAGCTATATATGTATGTGTGCCCAGTGTCTTTGCATGCGAGCATGTACAATATATACTTTTCTGAGATACATATTAGAACTTTTATAAATGTTTTTTTAACTAACGAGGATATGTGTTAGATGTTAGTGAGTGGGATTCCCGGGTAATCCCCAACCGGCGCGGTAGCCCGGCACAGACGCTGGGCAGCCCGGGGGCGAATTGGTGAATTGCCATAGCAGGTCCCAAATCGCCCCCCCTAATACGGGCAGGAAAGGAAGCCGGGGAATTTTAGTGGGTATTCCTGGGAATACCCACTAAAATAATAAAAAAACCCCACACAAATCCCACTGTCGAGCCAGAGCAGTGGGTAGTCTGTAAGCGGATTTCTCCCCGAAAAAAAAAGGTATTAGTGTGTGGGTTAATAATGTATCTAATATATTTATCTAAATAATATATTTATCTAAATATGTAATATATTATAAAGGCCTCTTTCTCACATGGAGAAGGTTTGAGCATTAATCACCACGCTTGCTCAAGACGGGCTGGTGATTTTAAACTTATAATTGTTAGAAGTCCAGGCTTTCTCACGATGTTTTTCCTTCACCGTATGTCAGTGGTGTCTAAATACTCTCAGAAAATACATATGACTCCGAAAAATCACATTTAATTTAATTTTTAATTTAATTTATTTGTCTCAGACATAGTCCATATTTTAATTTTAGTATGACATGGCAACCTTATAACTAATGTTAGTAAAAACAAATAATAATAATAATAATAATAATAATAATAATAATAATAATAATAATAATAATAATAATAACCCCCCCGGGGATGAACCTTGCCGTGGTGGGGGGGCTTAAGGAGAGGAGATACTATAATGAAGTCAGTACACCTTGACGATGCACCCCAATTTAGGGAGATACTAAAACAAAACCAATAACACCTAGGTTACCCTCTCTGAACTAATCATCCCAACAACCACCCATAATGGAGAAAATAAAAAGAAAATATAATTTACGGCCACTGCCCGGGGGTCGCCGGGGCGCACCTGGAGCCGGTGCTGGGTGCTTCAGTTTGCGGGACACCGGTGACGTGGAGTTGAGCAGGCGGGCTCTCGTCACACAAACAGTTACAGCCGATCGTCGGGGGTTGAACAGGCGGGCTCACGACGTAGAGGTTACAGCCGAATCGACATTGGGCGATGATACACACTCTTTATTCTCTTCCATTCCTTCAACTCGCCCCTCTTATATGACCAGGAGAAGAGCTTCGACCTTATCAAATACTACTTCGCTTGGGAGTGTTGTGCAGGAGATTCACTTTGAATCTGAATCTGCACCCACTTCGGGCCTACCACGCACGCGCAAGCGATGGAATAACGAGATGAACCAATTCATATTGCGCACCTATTTGCAACTGACTGCTCTTGATACAGATACCAGAACTTATTTAGAACCGCTACACTTAAAATTCAGTGAAAAGTACCCTGAAATGATTCAACAACATCAGCTCCGCTCACAATACCAGTACTCCGCACGGCTCAAACCATCATGCCCAATTCTGAACCTAAATAACTTATTTTTCCCCTGTTGTGCACTTGGCTTTGGCCCGTACAGAACAGTAGATATACCAACAATTTTGTTGAAAAAAATAAAGATACAATAATAATAATAATAATAATAATAATAATAATAATAATAATAATAATAATAATAATAATAATAATAATAATAATAATAATAATAATAATAACAATAATAATAATAATAATAATATAATCCTGAAATAGTACTAGAAAACCATTCAACTAAACTGTATTATGATAGAGCTATCCTCACTGACCGTACAATTCATTACAATAGGCCAGATATTACATTAGTTGATAAAATAAATAAAACAGGGTATCTAATAGATATAGCAGTTCCTAACACCCACAATGTTCAGTCTACAATATGTGAAAAACTTACCAAATACACTGAACTGAAAAAAGAAATAGCGCGACTGTGGCATCTACAGAAAGTAATAATAGTTCCCATAGTCCTATCCACGACAGGTATAATTCCAAAACAGTTACACCAATCTCTGAAGACATTAAATTTGCCCCCTACTATATATTATTTGTTACAAAAAGCTGTCATACTAAACACGTGCCGTATAGTCCGAAAATTCCTCCAAACAGACACACAAAATTCTTATTCAACAACATCAGCTCCGCTCACAATACCTGTACTCCGCACGGCTCAAACCATCATGCCCAATTCTGAACCTAAATAACTTATTTTCCCCCTGTTGTGCACTTGGCTTTGGCCCGTACACAACAGTAGATATACCAACAATTTTGTTGAAAAAAATAAAGACTTAAAAATAATAATAATAATAATAATAATTTCCTGAGTTAATTTATTATTTTGTCTCAGTAGTAGGAAATGATAGTTATTTGCATAATCTCGGTAAAATGTATTATGTGTGAACGTTGCACTTACTTTCAAAAAGTCTCGACATTAATTTATAAGGTTTCTGCAATGAAGCTTTGAATAACATTTTGCTGGAATTTACGTCTTATAAGATACGAAGGTCAAAGAAATTTATTGAGATTTATTCGAATTTATGTTGCGATTATATTGAAATACCATTATTTCGCGTTATAATCTGCAGTTTGTAATGATTTATTAATGCGAAAAAGGATAAATGTCTTTTTTTACTGACATTGATACTTTTTCCTTTTCACAAAGACCTTGTAATCCTTCTTTTTGTATTAAAATAATATTTTAAAAATAGAATTAATTCAACGATTCTTTATAAAACTATTGGATTTAATTCTAAATCAAAGTAAAATATACCCACGTATCTTGCTCCCACACATTAACATATTCATGATCATGTAAGATCTCTATATATACATTTAATATAAAAAAATTGGAATAGCTGTTCCATTTTTATAATGAATTAATTGATATCGTATGTACCAGTTCAAGCCTTACAATTAGTAAAGTGTATTCGAAATAACTCGAAGGTGAATATGAATTTTAGGAATAAATACAACTGATTGGAAATTCTATAGCGCTTGTATATATTTTTTAATTCTATATATTTTTTAATTTGTCATTGACATGGTACTTTGTGTATTGAATGAATATGTTTTCGTTTAACATTTTTATTTGTATAAATAGCAGTATGCAGGTGTGAAATTAACATTCTCAGAAAGATATCTTGTTAAGGTAAATTGAACTTTTCTCTATTAACTCACCACATCAAAGCCGACTTCATAATGAGACCCTTGGAGATAGAGGACAGGGACGGCACGGCGTCTGCCGATGTTCTCCTCGCATATTACTCCTGGAAAAATAATTTTCAACATTTATATATAGGTATATCCAGCGCTCTCTGATACTTGTAATGGCAAAAGATTTTAACATATAACTTTTCTGTAATCAAATAGCCATTATCTTCAGTCGATCCTAATATTAAACTACGGTGTTAAGATATCTCACATTCATTATTTTCTTAAATAAGAACTAAGGTTGTTTTCAGGTATAACGAATTGCAATGCCATGCCATACAACTATTTTTACGTAAAAAGTACGGAAATTATGTCTTTTTTATAATTAAAAGTAAATAATCTACTTAAATATTTGATAAGAATCAGCATAACAAGCATTACCTAATATTTATTATTTACATAACATTAAAAAAAATTGTAATTTGCAAAACTGCAGTCGGTTTTCGCCAGAGCATGTCTAATATGTGTTCTGTTAAAACACAACAAAATATGATTACCATTAACTCACCATTAAGTTCCTTCATTGTGAAGGTCGGCCAAGATCGAATTTAAAAATTGAAATCTATTCGCGGGCGCGACACAAGCGACTGACACCGTTCAGATAACACTCCGTATATAAACGAACTCTAACTACAATCGAGAATAGCTTAAAAATAATGTAAATCGTTCGAATGTATGTATATGTTTATTTTTATTAAGTATGGCAACAAGAAGGCTGAGTTATCCCTATGTTTTTTTTTGCTTTAAGGCCACATTGTGTAATAGAGTTCTATTTTAGTGGGGAACTTTTTGAAATGTGTGTAAGGTATTGACGCGTTAAAAAAATATTTATTAAGAATGTCATTTTGTTCTACTATATGATATGATAGGCATAAGATAGCGTAATCCGTAAGTGTCGTTTTATAAATAATCAGAAAGTCCAAGAAAATGTAATAAATGTGCAGATTACGTAGATATATATGTGACCTATTTATTATCTTCCAAGTATTATATTGTTAGCCGTGAACCAAAAGCCATTTAATGAAATAATCAATTTCATTGTTAAATCAATTACCACTTTTTACATGCTAATAGATTCATATAGATTTTCGACGTTGTTTGTCTTTATTTAGAAATAAAGGTATGAGCTTGAAAAGTATAGTTCATTGATACCATTTTTAGAGTAATTATTTCTTTTGTGCAATGACAAACTTTAAATTTGCTTTAAAATCTCTTCATAATCCTTTGAAGATTGAAGTATAATTTACTTAGGAGATACATGTTTTGCTTTGCCATATACAGAGACATTTAAGAATTTAAAAAATGTCTTGTATCGTGTTAATAACAATAAGCACTAAAGAAAAATACAGTATGTTGAGAAATTAGACTGATATTTTATATGAATAGATAGTTGTGTCCAAAACACTATTATTTTGATAAATGGTAAAATTTTTCGTAGTTACGAAATTTTATTTAAAATAACAGCAAACATATAACAAAATAGATACCTCTAGCAGAACAAGATGTAGGTCATTCAACAAACAAACTACAGTAAGACGACCTTGATAGCCAAAATATTTTCAAAATTCTTATGTCTTACTGATCTTGCCACATAGTGTAAATCCTTGAATAGATTTATTTAAATTGCAGATGTAAACTTGACTTAATTCAATTAAATAATTCTCAGTAAAAAATTAATTGATTGAAAGATAAGTAATAGAACGAGAGCAGAAGTTAGAATGTTATTAATTACTATTCTTAATGATCTTTCAATTAAGGCATAATTTTAAAATGCTGACCTTATTCCAAAATTATTATTACAGATAAAGGAAAAAGATGCAATAATTTGTAAGTAATAACTGCTAATTTACTGCAATCAGACATTATATAATAATAACTGATTCTCAGGTTCCCTAATCTCTTGGAATAAAAACTGTTGGTAACTCGCAAAAATAAAATATGAAAAAACTAAACAGCAAAAACTGTGTAATTGCTATAAGGATTTTATTGCTGAATAGTAATTTAATACAATCGCTAGTCAAATCTGGTTAAAACGGCGCTCCCAAAGAAGACACACTTTTACAAAGGGAAAGTAAACATGAATGTGAAACTAGTTTTAAAAGTATATGTTTATGCGTGATGTCCTTATTTTTTATTTGCTAAATTAAATAAAATATTCAATATAATTGTGAAATTATATTATTTACGAATCTATGAATAAAAAACCTTATTTAGTTTGCATTTGAACAATGGTTGTCATATTAGGATAAATCTAATGTTTTTAAAAATTAAAGAAACCAACACAGTCTTATCATTTCTCCATTTTCTCCTTAAAGACGGAAAATTGAGTTATGGTACTTAAAAATTATATTAAATATTTATGGAACCTCGTTTGGGGAAGGACTTAAACTGTTAACGGTACTAAAAAAGCTAATTTATTAAAGGATCACGTAGTTAATTCTCTAACGCATTAACAGTAACTGATATATTTCCATCTAAATATACATCTATCTATATACTTACCTAGGTTAGGAGTTATTCAAACTTTCATTATGTAGGTAGAAAAAATACCATTGCTAAGAATAATAAGAACCTACCTATTTTTCATCGGTTAGAATGATAACTCTGGCAAATTAGGCTGTATGGTTGATATGTTTATTATTCTTGTTTAATGTAAGTTAACCTTCATGCAAATTTGGTGGGTATGACCACCTTAATGCTATGTATATGTGGGCACCGTAAGTGATATTATTAATATTAATATTCTAACTCCTGTAAGGTCCAATAATAAGACTATAAATAAACAAAATGCTTTGAGTCAAAATTAAAGTAAAAGAAATTGTATTATGGCAAAGAATTCCGTTTAAAATCTTTGGAACTATTTAATTGATAAATTAGAACCTTTATTTGAAGTGAAATTTCTGTGGTTTTATCGTAAACCTGTGTTTTTCAACTTTTGTCACGACATGACAGCAACAGCATTCAAAACATTCAGCTATTTGAAATATTAACAGATTTTTTTAATGCAATGTTTTTAATTATAAAGTAACACAATTTTCCATAGTTATTTTAATAATTCCCTCTTTCATTTTCATTATTGTTTAAATGTTGACATTTGCATAATATGATATGTCTATTTTTATGATTGCTTAAAGTCTATTTAATAAATCTTAAACATGGAATCAAAATACGAAACGCGCGATATTGTAGTTATATTAAAAGATTTTCGGTATTTGCTTCATTAAATGTTTTTAGTTTTAAAAATATGTAGCTATCTCCAAAATAAATTTTATATTTGAGACAAAAGTAGAGCTTTTATCCATTTCGTTTTAAATATGGGACTGTAAAATGAAATTGGAAAAGGAATAAGAATATTTTTGTTAAACAATTTAACATATTGACATGATTCACGATTTGATAAAAAAATGGATAGATATTGAGCATTATATTCTTGCTCGTTATAACTTATAGGATAAATGTGAATGTGTTCATTTAGTATTATTTCATTAACATTAGTAAGAAATAGATTTCTTTCTTTCTTATAAAACTTATAATCAAAACTTGTTTTCTTTTTATATTCTAGGAGTCAAAAAGAAAGAATTCAACAGTACAATATAGTAAATTAGGAATACCATAACTCCATATTATTAATTCAATAAAAAAATCAAATTACAAAATGTAAGGTGCGCAATATCTTTCACCTTAATATCATCCTTTCAATTTAGTAACGAATTTTAATATAAAGGAAAGTGATTGAAAATGGAACAAGTACTCCAATTATTTTCTAAATCATATGAATAAATTTGTATTTCGTTTCTAGCTTCCAGTTTACCAAACTTTTCCCGAAGTTATAAACGAGCAATAACATATCAAATGAACTTTTTTATGTAACTTTCTTCACATATCCAATGTTTATAAATCTTTAACTTATACGATTTTAATACCTTATTTTGAAAATAAAAACAACTAAGGTAACAAGTTCGTAAGTAATTTCCTCGAACACTTTTAATACAAAAATATTTGAGCAATGTCTACACAGGTATAAGATTTTAAGATAAAAAATGTAAAAGTTGGATGCTTTTGTTCACGATTTTGGTTTAATAGGGATTTACGAAAAAACCGGAATCGACACTGAAAAATGCATATGTTCATATTTTGAACAGTTAAACACAAACTAAAGTTTATTTCGTTGTTCGCTTTATTTAAATATAGTGATTGTATTAGGGAAGTATTTAGTATCGCAGAGGTGGATAACCTGTTGTTCTTGTTTTCTTATGAAATTACGGCATCTATGTATGGGTATCTCCTTAACCCAATTTAAACAATAGGCAAAGATCATTACTATATAAAAGTAGACTTGTCATTGTATTTATAATCACTAGGGTCCTGCAGACTGTCGGTCCCTAGTGGTAAGTGGGATTATTATGTTCATTTTAAAGCTAGCGCCATACAACGATAATGTATAAAATAGTTATAATACTTTCAATTACTTGACTTGGGAGCTTAATCATAGAAATCTTCATATACACTAAAAGTTTTGTACATTTTTTATAGATGTTTATTTCACAGTAACAACTCAATCACATATAAATTTTACTTACACCTCCATCAGTTCAAGAATATAAATCTGTGCTCAGACAACTTTTACCATCGTTACCGCTATTCAAGTTTGCCGCTTTAAATTAATAATGTCATACAAGAATGAATATTAAACAAGATTAAAGACAAAGTTGAAGTTTCCTTTATATTTTGTCATAATAATATATTATTCCACATCCAGAATACATTTAGATTAACTCGTAAATGGGTCAATATAAGCCTAGAGCAAATCTTATCTTAATCTTTCGGTACCCAGAAGGGTCGTTGTTGCCGAAGTTAATCAATTTGCGGAAAAAAGACAAGCCTCAAGTTTTTATATTTAATGATCCATTATCATTCATATTATTCATCAAAACAATATAATTGAGAGAAAGAACATTGCACCAATTAATAATCGAAGGCTTATAAAACCAAATTAGTTTTTGGACGTCAAATCAAAAAATACGTCAGGGAAATAAAGAACGAACATTTATGAAATAAAAACGCAATGAAACATAACT